TATTTATCACGATAACTATTAAACAACTTAGTAATCTCGAAAACGTACACATCATCATAAATAGTATATTTTAGCAAAAAAAAAACAAAAACTTCAAAGCACGAAAAAGTAAAACAACCGAAAATTTACGAAGAAAATTATAGGTTACCTGTCAACAAAAAGCTTTGCACACACCCACTCACTACGCCGTCTGGTGGGACCCTGGCTGTGTTAAAGTGGCGTGGCATGTTATAAGTTTAAGATAGGTAAAAAAAACGGAAAAAAATCAAATTCCTATTGAAAAAGGTCTGTTACTATTTACCCCTGTTACAACAAGCCCGCGCTCCACGTACCTCCAATTTAGGGTTTTATACATGAAATAACAAGAGAAATTTGAAAGATTTCTTCTTGATTTAAAGTTATAGCACTTGTGTGATATTATTCGATAGAAATATTTTATTACAAATTGTACAAACAACAAATAAGTATACTAGAAGAAAATCGTTAAAATAGCGAATAGATTAGGGTGACTATGAGTGTAAGTTGTGTTCATTTACAGCATTTAATTATAATTTGTAAATAATTAACAAAACAATACGCTTTACTGATGTTTAAATTTTAGTTATGATAATTAGAAGATTATCATCTTTGCACTGTTTAAACACCATGTTTTTTTATTAATGCTAAGAAACATCAAATTTTGTCGCCTTTTGCATTTCGTTGTAGACAAATAAATTTCTAAAAAACATTACCGGGAATAATGCAAACAGCATATTGAAGAAAGGCACATTTGCCATTTAATAAAAATCCTAATGTTAAAGGTTCCTTTCTGTTCAAACGATATTGGACATTGCCAACCCTGCCGTGTTCTGTCCACAACATTATTTCCAATGAAATAGGATAAACGAATCGATACAATAAAATCAAATTAGCCATCGTTAAGTACTTACCCTTAAGGAAATTCGCAATATTTAGTTTAAGAAACATAGGGCAGGGTTTTGAGCTATGAAATTGGAATACCGCCAAGATAGTATGTCTGGACGAAGTTACATTTGCACAAGGGACACACTTATCTTTGAAAATCAAGGCACTGCTTCTGAGCTTACAAATAACATTTAAAGACTTTTTAATGGTCGCTGTATTAAATAAATCTTTTGTATTATAGCGGCATCCAAAAAGTTTTGCTGTTTTAATATTTTTCTACAGACTATGCTTTTGTACGATGAAATATGGGACAAATAACCTTTAGATCATATTGTTCTTACGATTCATTCAATAATAAGTTTATTTTTATTACACTTCGTGTACTTGGTAAGAATTATTATAAAAAATAAAATAATACAGTGGCGCTACAACCTTTTTAGGTTTGGGCCTAAAATTTCTGTATCCGTTTCATGGTCACTTGTCAATCTTATATCAGCCTCCTGTGCCTGATATACGCTTTCGACTTTTTTGGTCTACGCAAGACTTTTTGGGCAAATTTCCTCACGATGTTTTCCATCACCATTTGAGTGAATATAAATGCGCACATAGAAAGAAAGTCCATTGGTCTACAGCCGGGGATCGAACCTACAACCTCAGGGATGAGAGTCGCACGCTGATGCCACTAGGCCAACACTGCTTAAGTTAAGTATGCATTGGTGATATTATGATCAACGACACAATTAATCTATTATTTATGACTTAACGGGTATAGCTCGGCGATGATTATGTATCATAAAAGTTTGCAAAAAGCTTCTCTATTTAAAGCCGCTTGTTTCCTATAAATAATTACTATTTTTAACAATGTATGCTATTTTAATGTTATCGTTGACTTAATATTGAACGTTGAAAAGCGTCGACTCCTAAACTGCTACGATTGCCTACGTAGGGTGCTTGCTACACAGGGGCGGGCGGGTAGCAATTAAATTAAACGTATGACAATATTACACTTTATCTTAATATTAGTTATTAAAGTTATTCTATCCTGTATTATATCTTAATTTAGCGTTTACATCCTCCTTATTTAAACAAAGTTTTTCCTTTATTTTGATGACTGTAAGAAATCGCTTATTTACATTATTCAGTAATTATTTATTTTATTGTAAATTCTTGAATACTTTTTCTTACACTAAAGTTAATAAACAAATAAATATTATTACGCAAATGTATAATTATTGAATCAGACATTGATATGAAAAGAATTTGACAACCAAATCCAGTCAGGGAATCAGTAACTATTATTAATTTAAATAAATATTTTCCCCATACAACTAGAAATTAGCCAGCCTAAATTATGGCTATTTTTTTTAGATAATGATAATAATGTTACAACTTACAAATTACATACAAAATCACGTTGAAATTGAGGAATACTATCGCCATTACGAGAATGTCTATGAGTATGACCAAATGCATGGCATGTGTACATACAGACGTATCCTGGGTGGGGCTGCGACGCTAGACAGAGACCAGCATTCAACACCTTGATAATTAGAATTGCACCTATTCATAATAGTGTAAAGGCAGTTTAAATATATTTTTTAAAGTGTAAATAGGTTAACTGAACTTTTTTCTTAAAAAATAATTTACAAAACATGTGGTAAAACTACACAATCCCATGCAATGTCAGATGCTCGTTCGTTCGGATGCACGCAGCCGGCGGCAGTGCAGTTTCCGAACGCATAGCCGTTCAATATCCGCGGGAATTGTTTGTAGATCCACCCTTCCCGCTCCCCCTGTCAAATGGAACCTTATGGTACTAGGAAATCTAGGACTTCTATTTTATCGTTGTAAAAATATGTTAGAAAGAAATAACGCATTACGAATTAGAGCATGTCAACGTAGCGATCACGTGACTCGTTTAATGGTCACGTGATTACCAAATCTCTTTATATGTGCCCTTTATGTATTGAAAAGCAAATAACTTCTCTCTTGTAGCCTGTAGGACTGATAAAACGTAAAACGTTATCCAATAAAGGGTCAGCAGAAAACATCACAGAATAAAATTAACACGAAATAACGTCTCAACTATTAGTTGAGCTCTCTTGTGCTGTACGTAAAAGTACAACATGAGCGACTTAATATACTACAATACATTAGTCAAGCAGGAATATATGTAGAATAAATCTTTTATAAACACTAAAATAAGTAACCTTTCAAATAACCCGGAATAGCGAAATGTTTCCTTCTGTAAGGTAAAAATTACAAAATGGCCGCATTTTATGTCGCCACATTATGTAATAATTGAACTGAAGAACAAAGAATATTAAAGCATACATATAATAATGGAATAATTACTAAAACTTTTCAGCTCCAACTAGTTTATCAGAACATACAACAGAGCGCTAGTTCCACTTATATAAGACTAAGTTCAAGCTGTGCATTGTATAAGTTGTATTTAACGGTTCAAATCGAAACAGTATCGCCGAGTATGCAGGAGTGTACAAACCGTTCTAACTTCTAGTTTGATGTGACACGGATTTGAAGTGAGAGCCTTTAGGTCAGAGTATAGAGCCCTAAGATATTGCAATCAAAATGTTATTACGATGTGATAAAAGGAGTTTTTTTTTATTATTAGACTTATTTATTTTAGAATACAGCGGGTATATATTTTCTCATCGTTATAGCTAATGTGTCGCACATCAATCGCTATGTTAAGACGATATGTTAAATAGCTTATGTTATTGTATGATGATAGAGAATTCTAGTTTATTAATTAGAATTAGCAAACAGTAGCAATCACAAGCTAATATTATATGTGACAGTAAGAAAGAACTAATCCCTTATATATACATATATTGAGGCTTAAGTAACCGGATAAAGAACCATATGCCTTCCAAATCCCAATCCAACCCTGCTTTTAAGCTCCAGGAAAGTTATGCAGTCGATTTCAGAACTGTCACGTGATACCTGTACGGAGACTGCATGCCAGACTTACTTCCTAAATTCAGCTGTTCACAACCGCTCGCAAATCGAAACATCGATCGGATGTATACTTTAATCGTTCATAGAATACGTTTATTTTAAAAAAAAACATCTTATGTTTATGTCTGTTTTTAAAAATATTAATATAATTTTAATTTAGAGATAAGCCTTCTTATTTGTATTGTATCGGCTTATATATGGGTATAAGTATGTAGTAATTGTTGATTTGTGGGCCTTTCTAATCGATGTTCGTTTTTAGTATGTACTCTCGTAAATACTTCTGGTTGATTTTAACTCCAAAATCTGAATATTCAAAACATCGGTAATAACCACTTGTTTGTAGATACCTAATCTTATTTAGACGGAAGGAAGAAATTATTTAATTTAGTCAATAGCTATGTACTGTACCATTTAAATAAGTGATAAAAACACTAGATAAACAATATTTGATTAAAGTTTAAGACCTATCAAAATATATAGGTAATTATAGCTGTATCGTTGAAAATAACCGAGGCAGATTTTGCATTTCAGCAAAATCTTATTTTATGATCACATCTTGGTGAGTTAGTTTAAGAGACGTTATAAATTTCGCCGTACATCTATTTCGTTTGCGGAAAGTCGTTAATGACGCAAAGAATCGTTTTATGATGTTTGCTTTGATCACAGTACAGCATCAAAACGTGGTTTATGATGCAATAACATCGAATTTGGTAACAAATTTGAATAACGATATCTGTTGATAGGAAATTAGGGTTTTTTGAGGTTATTAAAAAAAATATATTTGCCTAGACTTATAATATAAGTTTTTTAATTGGTGATCATTGACCAGTGATAAAAAAACCATATGTATAAAAAGTATAGTAGCACCAGTGACCATTATTTTTTTGCCAAAGAGAGACATCTAGTTGAAAGCGCACGTACTTGGACCAGCAAAGGAGTTTTATGACATAGACATAGAGCATTCTGATGTGTCTAAAATAAAAAATTAGATTTTGACATTTACTTGCGTTGCGTAAAAAGTTTAAGGTTATGCTATTAGCTATAGAGTATGACTGTATTGTATTATTGTTTTACTTTTAACTTTCAACACCAAATAAAAATTTATAAGTGAATAAATGGAAGATACAGACAAAAGGCCGCAATTCGGGAATCGACTATTAGAAAATGTGGACGAAGTGTTTAAACACAACGCTTGGTACTGTATTTTATGTTTCACTTAGAAATTGTAAGAAAATTAACAATAACAAAGTATATTTGGAGAGCACGCGATTCAGGAAAAAGCCTTGTGGTGGCACCAGATATTTGCAGGATTCGAATGATTTATTTGACTTTAACGCATGGTATATACTGTTTTTTCATATATTATAATTTTCCTGAGATGGAAAAAGAAGATATTTTGTATGTTGTCATAAGTTAGAATATAGCTTATATTAGCCCCCAAAATACATTATTTTACTGTAAACTTATTTTTAACGTCTGATTTTTGTATTTTACAGGGACAATGTCCAATGGGATGCAGAACAAGAAAAGGCAGCACAGGAGAAAGTTGGACAAAATTCCCTTGTAACATTTTCAGAAGATATATTAAAAGATTTGGATCAGAATGCAGATAAGCATTGGGATAACTTTTATGATATACATCAAAATAGGTAAAAAGACAACATTGTCACACTAAGGTGTTGTTTGCTTTTAAATTTCTAACTTCTCTAGTATTTTCCATCCTTTTTTATAACTAGGTACTCAGCTATCTAATCTAGTATTAAATTTTACAGATTTTTCAAGGATAGACATTGGCTTTTCACAGAGTTTCCTGAATTAGCACCAGACTATACATCAGCTCCTTGTAGAGTTTACCCTAATGGTGATACTAATAAGAAAAATAATATGCAAATACATGGAATTTCCACTGAATCCAAACGATACATCTTTGAAATAGGCTGTGGTGTTGGAAATACAATATTTCCTATACTACAATACAGTCAAGATCCAAACTTATTGATATATGGATGTGATTTTTCATCTAAAGCAATTAGTATTATGAAAGAGAATGAATTATATGATACAAAAAGATGTGAAGTTTTTGTACTAGATGCTACAAAAACTGAATGGAAAGTCCCATTTGAAGAAAATTCAATAGATATAATTGTATTAATATTTGTGCTGTCTGCAATTGATCCTACAAAGTATGTATACATTTATATACTTCAATAAAAATCTATTTAGATGTTTACTATATAATATAATATTTTCTAGGATGACCAATGTTGTTAAAAATATTTATAAATACCTAAAACCTGGTGGTTTAGTAGTGTTCAGAGATTATGGTAAATATGACTTGGCCCAGTTACGCTTCAAAAAGGAAGGTGCATTTCAGATAATTTTTATGCTAGAGGGGATAAAACCATGGTATATTTCTTTACTCAGATGGAAATTACAGAAATGTTCAAAAATTGTGGATTTTTGGAAGAACAGAATCTAATAGATAGAAGACTTCAAGTAAATAGAGGTAAAAAATTAACAATGTATAGAGTTTGGATACAAGCAAAATATAGAAAACCATTGTAGTTTATTTTTATAATTTCACATTATTGTAAGCATAAAAGTAATAATAAAAACCAAATTATATTCAAATGTAATTGGTAAATAGCATAAATAAAAATTGTTGTGTATAAAACTTGAAGTATCTATTAAAAAACATGTTTATTGAGCATACTAGTAAATGCGTTACATTTTCTCAGAGAGGTCAATTTCTATAAGTAGATTAGAAATTAAACCATACCTCAAACTCTTTAGAGTTGTTCAAACTTAAAATGATATGGTTTCTTAAAAACATTCAAAACTTTAGTTTCGGTTTGAATCGGAGGTCCTGTCCAAGTAACTTTAAGTTCACCGATCAGTTTTTGTATCAAAATTTCAATTTCCAATTCGGCAATACGTCTACCAATACATGATCTTACGCCAAACCCAAAGGGCTGGGTCACCATTGGATGAGTGTTACCATAGTATAATGGATTTGATTTTTCCACAATCCACCGATCTGGGATAAATTGTGTAGGTTCTGGATAGTATTTTTCCATTTTACTTAGGAATTCGTTAGGCGACATTATGTCAATCTGAAAATAATAACAATTGAATACCTTATAATCGTAAACCCATGGTTTGCTTGGTTAGTTTATACAAATATTTTCTCTCTTTATTTTAAATACAGAGAGAAAATATTTGTGAAAAAGCCCTATCTAGCTTCTTCAAGTGTAGTTGCAGTTTACGTGTTTGTTCGGCACTGCGTTTAACGCTTGAACTATACAATATACCAATACATATTTATAAATACGTCGCAACGAAAAGTTTTGTCAATCACAAATAGTTGCGACGCCAAAGACGACTATACAGCTTAGCATTAGCTTGCGGCCGTGGCTCGCACTAAGGTTATGGATTCGATTTCAGGCTAATAATATATCGGAAGTAAAAAAAGGCTAGTCTCGTACTTGATTTAAGTAAAATATCAATAAAATAGACGCAGAAATGTTTACGGTTAACTTCAAAAGATATATCTAACTAAGTATTAAATTATTCATCTCTTGCATTCCATAATAATTATCTATAAAGTTATACCCCTGCAGGAATATGGTATCCTCCCACAATATGGTCTTTAGTTGTTCGTCTCAAGTTGGTCGATACAACTGGATATATTCTTAATGCTTCTTTAATACAAGCCTTTAAGTATCGTTTACTGGCGTTCTCTGAATGTATTTCTTCGCGTAACTTATCTTGTACTTCTGGGTTCACAGCCAAATTGTATAATATTGACGTCACAGAAAATGCCACCTATAAAAACCTAACATGTTTTAAGAGGAATCAGATAAAAACCTATCGATCATTTTAATTAAACTCTATATCAATTATTCTCAGGGTAAAGCGACTTCCCAATAGTCCTTAAACCATTTACGAAAGCTTATAGTTTTTGTTAACAAATTTATGAACCTCAAAACATACTTTTTATATATGAAAACCTTACTTTTTCTACAAATTTTTGTTATTATAAAATAGCTATTTGATCTCAGGCTAACAAAAAACATTTCCTCAGCTTCAGTAAAATTACTTAAATAGTTTTCAATTAACAATATTTTAAATGCATACAGTATCTATCCCCGCTAGTAACATTTCACTGGCCATCATAATGGCCACTTTTTCATCCACTGCCAATAACTTTTCTATAATACTTTTGTCTTCTTCTGGTATGGCGTGACCGCGTTCACTAATTTGTCGTTTAGCCTCCTTGATGAAAACTGAGCTTATTCTGAAATGGATAAATACTAAGGGGTAAGATTAAGTGTCGCATCTTATCGCTAAGTATGATTCCTGGATTTTTACATACGAGAATCGTAGTTCTCGCTACATCACGACTGAATATTACCCTAAGTTCTACATACACAATTACAGGGTATCGAACTTAACGAAATCTGTAAATGAAACCGCATATAAAAGCTAAATATGTTATGTGTTGTTTCCTCGGCATTTAAAAAATATTTTTTCCGGATACAAAATTCAAATCACGAATACGAGTATGTTTTAACTACACTACTAACTTATCTGTTTCTTTACAATTTTGTTTAGAAGAGACAGTAAAAACCGAGTTATTAAATTTTGATGTTTTCAAATAATTGCGACAAAATCTTGAAAATGTCATATTTTAATTATACCTACTCCCACTGGCGATCATAAGTTCTCATAAGCTTCTTAAAAGTGGGCGTAGAAAAGTATTTCCACGGACTTGGTCTGAACTCCAAAGCCCATGTGTACTCCAGAACCTCTTTTGCGCATGTTATTAGAATTTTTGCTGGATCATCCTCCTTTAGATCGTCCTTGAAACAACCTATTCTGGAACCTAACCCGACATAAGCCACAGATTCTAAAGACCATTTTGTCAGTTCTTCGTCAAAGTTTTTATTTATATTGTTTTTATTGTCCAACTGTTTTTTGAACCTGAAATACAATATTATGTAGTAATAAGAAATTATGATATGCTAACTAGCCTACCTCAAGAAATGTCATCAATGAAACATAAAACTGTCGAGGGTTACAAGACTTGTAGCATTCGTAAAAAGTTGCATTTATTTTTGATGACTAAGGACCACTACTACGGTACTAATATATACTATTCAAATAGAACTTACTTTAATAACATGTCATCTGCTATTTCACTTAGCGCAGATGTATAAAGTTTTACAAGCTTCGGTTTTAAAAAGATTGGGTTTACTTTTGTTCTAAAATCGCGCCATTGAGCCCCTTCACTAAAAAAGTAAAACGGACACATAGCGATGTTATGCAATGCATTAGTAATTTGAAACAACTATTAAATGTTTGTTTCTTATAAGTGGTATTTTATTACGTAATAACTTATTCTCACTGCTTAGACGGAAACTCATGTTTGATTTTTTAATATTAGTTTTTCAGTTTAAAAATTAAAACATAAAAAGTAACATTTAAAAGTTAAACGTAGAAACGCCACATCTCGTTCTGTTTCGAATTAATATTATTAGTTAATTATTCGTTCCCTTACGCAGTCGTTAAACCATAAACACCATCAAATATCGTTTTTTTTAGCTCTGTCCTGTAATAAACCAATGTCTGAAAGCCAGGACGCGATGGAGAAATATCTTCTTCCCGAAAAATCTGTAATTTAATAGAAAATATTTGTTATAAGTTACGGTTTTGAGGTATTTTTAAAAACAATTATGAGTTAGATTAGTGTCATAGTTTCATAAAACAATCCCATTGAATATACATTTAATAATCATAACTTACTCCCGAAATCCTTCATTATATTAAATATTATTAAAACTGTATAGGCCTCTTGGATAACGACAGTGGCGCGGCGTTGTGGCAGATTCAGGCAACACGCGGGCGTCTGAGTGCGATCAGCTGGACGGTTTACGTTATTCAATCAGTTGAAAACGTTAAAAAGTGCTCTCAAAAACGAAAAAAGGCTGTGGGGTGTAAAAATTCCCAATCTCGGAATCGTGGATTAACTTTTTATTCGATTCCTAGACCGATTTGAGAAATTAAAAAAGTAAATGAGTGGATAAAGCTGTCAAAAGAATGTATGTAAATATTTATTATGACGAGTTGACACCAGGAACGTATCGAAAATATACAAACTCCAAATTTTCTGTTTGTACGCTATGCTATACGTTTTATTTTTTTTAGAATATTAAATAACAAGCCGTGGCAGCCTAGTAAACACTTGAATCTGCAGTGCTCATTTTGTTAGAGGAAAGCAGTCTAACGTCGAAAACAGCCCAGCGTATGTCCAACAATGCCCAACAAATTTTCTCCCTGTGTACAAAAAAAGATACCACAATTGGCCTTAGACGAGCGACTTCTGAAAGAGAAAATGGGTACGTCAACAGCTTCAAAACCACAAGTACTGGAAATCATAGATGAAAAACGATTAAATAAATAAAATTTTATTATCGGTTCAATATTTCAGAACAATACTTATTCCTTCAATATATGCATATTTCTTTAAGAAATATTAGGTCCTTACATATGAAATTGGCGTTTTGTATGGGAGGAACAAAAAGTCGAATATTTTTAAATATCATATATTTAATTAATCAAAGTATGAACCATTGTTTTCTATGCACTTTTGCCATCTCATAGGAAGTTCATTGATCCCTTTACTAAAAAAACCAGTCGGACGGGAATCAATAAAATCTGTGAAGGCGATTTGGACTGCCCCATCAGAGTTAAAATTTTTCCCTTGCAAGAAGTTGTCCAAATTTCGAAAAAAAATGGTAATCTGTTGGAGCAAGGTCCGGGGAGTACGCAGGATGTCTTAGACATTCCAATTGAAGCTCTTCTAATTTGGTAGCCGTCTGTTGTGCAGTGTGTGGTCTAGCGTTGTCGTGAAGTAGCAGTGGCGTGGAGCGATTGACCAGCCTAGGTTGTTTAGCCGCTAGCTTTTCCATCATGGTTTGCAATTGCTGACAATAGACATTAGCCGTAATAGTCTGGCCAGATTTGAGAAAACTGCAATGAACAATACCGGTACTAGTCCACCAAACGCTTACAAGTAACTTTTTTGGGGTTACTTTTCGCTTGGGAAATCGGCAGGATTTGCCTGGCTGGCCAGGATCCAACCATTGCGCTGAGCGCTTCCGATTATCGTAAAGAATCCATTTTTCATCACAGGTAATGATACGGTTTAAAATACCTTCATTATTGTGCCGGTTCAGTAATGTAACGCAGCAGTCGACGCGCGTTTGCCGGTTTGCTTCAGTCAATTCGTGAGGTACCCATCTTTCAAGCTTTTTAATCTTCCCAATTTGCTTCAAGTGAATTAAAACAGTTTTATCACTAACACCGCAGCCTGCAGCTAGCTCGGAAGTGGTTTGCGATGGATCCGCTTCCACAATAGCCTTCAATACTTCATTATCAACTTGGGTCTCAGGCCGTCCACGGGGCTTGTTCTGCAGGTCGAAATGTCCAGAACGAAAACGTTGGAACCAAAAACGAACTGTGTTTTCTTTTGCAACATGACCGCCATACCCATCATTCACCCTTCGAGTCGTTTCCGCAGCACTAGTGCCACGGCGGAACTCGTACTCGTAAATAATGCGATACTTTAAGTTTTCCATTTTGTAAAATGAGTGACGCAAACAGAAAAAACAGAAGAAAAAAACAAATGAATGACGGTTATCGAAGCACAAATACATGAGTAAATAGCTGTACAAATTTGAATTTGGAATTCCTTACCAAAGAGGAAAACATCGTGATTAAAGTGGCCAGTACGAAATACGCCAATTTCATATGTAAGGACCTAATATATTTCCATTTTTATTTTGCATGTGTAGCTCAACTACTGTCGCTGAGTTGCTGAAAATATATTTGTTTAGATTTTTCAACCATTCATTCATTTTATAATTAATACATATACCTCCACTTTCTCGTCGTACGGTCGATTACCTACTCTGGTCGTTGGTATTACTTTTCCAAGGATGATTCGTTCTCCACCATCATGGATTTCGAAGACCTTTAGAACATGATGGCTTTGGAATAGTTTGTGCCCTATTAGATTAATTGAACATCATGTTATTAGTAATACGATGATCTTACAAATAGAAAAATACGCAGTAAAAATTACATACAATGAATTTAAATGAATATTTCATGGTTGGTGTATTTACTTAGCTTTCGACACAGATTTTCCGAGGAAAAAGCCTGCGCAAATATTCTGAAATCCACACATAATAATAGTTTGGTTCATAATATTGGTTTAATACTTTTTTAATTGTGTTAAAATGAGCAATCATCAAAAAAGTGCAGTGAGTTTTATGCGAATCATATGTTCACTGCTATGAGACACGACCTCGAGTTGCCGCCGTCAACCGACCGATGGCGTTGCCGAAGCTTCGCCATATCCAAGAGGCCTAGGGAGCGTTAAGTATAGGCGGCGGCACGTAAGTCTAGCGCTGGCCGATACGTGGAGGGGATTGCTGCGCATGTGTACTGTCGCGCGGGGGACGGAATGCGACTGGAGAGCCAATCGACGCTACGCGCGCCCGCTAGCCCCCCTCAGGTACCTTATTTTTTACTTCTGCGCAATAACGGTCAGCGCTAGAGTTTCGTGCCGCTACTTGTATTACGTAACGCAATCTTTGGAGATTATTGACCCCCCCCCCCCCATGAACTCGCCGTAACGTTTTTCAGTACCCAAGTACAGTACTGTACCCAAGTCTAGAAATTTAAATTAGGTGTACGAAACCTTTATTTATAATTCCTTTTATTAATACCTTATCGTTACCTGGTCATAATCTTCCGGCTCGTACAAAACAACCATATCCGCCCTCGCAAAAATACCGCTTAACTTTACTATCGGACCATAGTTTTCGTAAAGAACTTTAAATAAATCGTAAAATGTTTTTAGATGTCCAAGCGAGCCTGTAATAAACTTATTAGTATATTTTGCGAATTAAATATGGATTATAAATTCAATTTGTCTTACCTATCATGGGCAAAAAATGGTGTATTGGTCCTAAAACAGGCAAAGGAGTTAAACCTGGAATAGCATCAAACGGCTTTATAGATTCCGACTGTACATTATTTAAATGGTGAGCATGTTTACTAAAAAAAAACAAATATTTGCTTAGTGGAAACATTGGTATAAGTTATAACGCTATCTATGAAACTGACATACTATTTTAAGCACAGTATTTATTCGAAGTAAAAGTGCTTTAATAATTTGAATTTTATAGTTTAATTTTCAAAGAATGCATCATAATTGTAGATATTGAAATGCAGTTTATCCTTCTGATTTTTATTACATTACAGTTATTGTACGAACTTACCTGCGTGTTATTTTAGGATGTATGCATCGGTTGAGCAAATACGGTGGTGGTACAAGTTCTATAAATTTACGTAAATACATAATAATTATTTACATTAATAGTAAAATACTATGATTTATTAAGAGTTATATTGGACAAATGCTTGAGTCAGTATCTTAATTTAAGTAAATGGTCATGACCTTGATAATTTGGTAATCGCGTCATTGATAAAATAAGATTGTAGCTTATCTATTTTATAGATTCTTTACAAAGTATTCTAATTCCTTTAAGTAAATAATTATTCTTAAGACTATCCATTGTGTCGACAACGCTTATGATGTTTGTTGTAAATCAATCAAGATTTTACTTAGATTAATTAAAAGAAACTAACATCGTTTATATTTTATAACAGCACAGACTATAAATTGTCAATATAATATCAGACAACTGACACTGTCAACTTGTCAATTTATAAGTGATGTAATTCATGCTTTTTTTAAAGTCATAAGGGCTAAGTTCCAAGTTCCATAATCCATACTCGCTTAATTCAATGCAATAAGTACACAGCTATCTTATCTAGACTATTGTATTATTAAATTTTACAGATTTTTCAAGGATAGACATTGGCTTTTCACAGAGTTTCCTGAATTAGCTCTAGACTATACATCAGTTCCTTGTAGAGTACCCTAATGGTGATAATAATGCGAAGAATAATACACAAGTACATGGAATTTCCACTGAGTCCAAACGATACACCTTTAAGGCTGTAGTGTTGGAAATACAATATTTCCTATACTACAATACAGTCAAGATACAAACTTATTTATATATGGATGTGATTTTTCATCTAAAGCAATTTGTATTATGAAAGAGAATGAATTTTATGATACAAAAAGATGTGAAGTATTTTTACTAGATACTACAAAAACTGAATGGGAAGTCCCTTTAAAGAAAATTCAATAGATCTAATTTTATTAATATTTGTACTGCCTGCGATTGATCCTTCATAGTAGGTATGTACAAATTTATATACTTAAATAAAATTCTATTCAGATGTTTACTATTAATATAATATTTTCTAGGATGACTAATGTTGTTGAGAATATTAATAAATTCCTAAATCCTGGTGGTTTAGTGGTCTTCAGAGATTATGTTAAATATGACTTCGCCCAGTTATGGTTCAAAAAAGAAATGCATTTCAGATAATTTTTATGCTAGAGGGTATATTATTTCTGTACTTAGATGGAAATCAATAGAAGACTTCCAGTAAATGGAGGTAAGAAGTTAATAATGTATAGAATTTGGATACAAGCAAGATATAGAAAACCATGTGTAGTTTATTTTATCCATTTTTAAATTATTGTATGCATAAAAGTAAAAATAAAAACAACTTATATTCAAATATGATTGTAATAATGTATATATGAAGGGTGACAAAAAATAAAAAATCTATGATTTTTGAAAAGCATAAACAAAAATTGTTGTAAGTATGTATACAAAACATGAAGCATCTATTAAATAACATGTTTATTGAGTAAACTTGTAGTAAACGTAAATGCGTTACCATACCATACCTCAAACTCTTTAAAGGTGTTCAAACTTAAAATGATATGGTTTCTTAAACGCATTCAATACTTTAGTTTCAGTTTGAATGGGAGGTCCTGTCCAAGTAACTTTAAGTTCACCGATCAGTTTTTGTATCAAAATTTCAATTTCCAATTCGGCAATACGTCTACCAATACATGATCTTACGCCAAACCCAAAGGGCTGGGTCACCATTGGATGAGTGTTACCATAGTATAATGGATTTGATTTTTCCACAATCCACCGATCTGGGATAAATTGTGTAGGTTCTGGATAGTATTTTTCCATTTTACTTAGGAATTCGTTAGGCGAAAGAATGTCAATCTGAAATTAATAACAATTGAACTCCTTATAATCGTAAACCCATGGTTTGCTTGGTTGGTGTGGTTGAAATAAAGGAAAAAAATTGAAATAAAGCCGTATCTAGTTTCGTGAAGTGTAGATGCAGTTTACGTGTTTGTTCGGCACTGCGTTTAACGCTTGAACTATACAATATACCAATACATATTTATAAATACGTCGCAACGAAAAATTTTGTCAATTACAAATAGTTGCGACGCCAAAGACGACTTACTTAGCATTAGCTTGCGGCCGTGGCTCGCACTAAGGTTATGGATTCGATTTCAGGCTAATAATATATCGGAAGTAAAAAAAAGGCTAGTCTCGTGCTTGATTTAAGTAAAATATCAATGAAAAAGACGCAGAAATGTTTAATGTTAACTTCGATAGATACATCTAACTAAGTATGAAATTATTCATCTCTTGCATTCCATAATAATTATCTATAAAGTTATACCCCTGCAGGAATATGGTAACCTCCCACAATATGGTCTTTAGTTGTTCGTCTCAAGTTGGTTGATACAACTGGATATATTCTTAATGCTTCTTTAATACAAGCCTTCAAGTATCGTTTACTGGCGTTCTCTGAATGTATTTCTTCGCGTAACTTATCTTGTACTTCTGGGTTCACAGCCAAATTGTATAATATTGACGTCACAGAAAATGCCACCTATAAAAACCTAACATGTTTTAAGAGGAATCAGATAAAAACCTATCGATCATTTTAATTAAACTCTATATCAATTATTCTCAGGGTAAAGCGACTTCCCAATAGTCCTTAAACCAAATGGTTTAAACCTATTGGTCGTAAATACGAAAGCTTATAGTTTTTGTTAACAAATTTATGAACCTCAAAACATACTTTTTATATATGAAAACCTTACTTTTTCTACAAATTTTTGTTATTATAAAATAGCTATTTGATCTCAGGCTAACAAAAACATTTCCTCAGCTTCAGGAAATTACCAAAATAGTTTTCAATTAAAATTATTTTAAATGCATACGGTATCTATCCCCGCTAGTAACATTTCACTAGCCATCATTATGGCCACTTTCTCATCCACTGCCAATAACTTTTCTATAATACTTTTGTCTTCTTCTGGTATATCTTGTCCACGTTCACTAATTTGTCGTTTAGCCTCCTTAATTAAAAATGCGCTTGTTCTGAAATTGATAAATACTAAGGGTAAGATTAAGTGTCGCATCTTATCGCTAAGTATGATTCCTGTATTTCAAACTATTACTGGATTTTTACATACGAGATTCGTAGTTCTTGCTACATCATGACTGAATATAGTAGACCGAGGCGAATCGGATCACTTTTTCTTTGAGGTTGAGCAAATCATACTAAAGTGTTATATAATGTTATTTTTATTGATAAAATCGTAAGAAGTAACAATTAGCTATGCAATAAACATTTGAAAACTTAAATCGTACATATATTCTCTTAATTACCTATTAAAAACTAAAAAAAGGAAAATATCCGAATCGCCCCAACTTTCGGGGTGAATCGGATCGTACGATAAAATCGTCTTCGTTCTTACGATAAAATCGTAAGAAGTAACAATTAGCTATGCAATAAACATTTGAAAACTTAAATCGTACATATCGAGTAGGAAAGCAATATTGCGTAAGAAAAATAAAGGGGCCGCATCGAATGCCCTGGGTCCTGTGTTCTACGATGAAAAAAATTACATACGCCGTTGAAAACGCCCGTCTTATATTATTTTTAGCAAGATTAAATGCTGTATGAGAAAAATCTAGTCATTTCAGACATTTTGCACTTACAGAAAAAGAAAATCTGCATTTTTTCCTTTACAAATACTTCTTCCCATTAAAAACTTAACGCTACTTCCAGCATTTCAGCGGGGTGGATTTTTACATTCGTTTACTTACAGCAAGTTTAGGGAACCTACAGTTTTGGTTTTTTTTACCATTTACGACATTTTATTTCAACCAAACATTACATTACAAATACCCACTGCATTTCTAGATCTAATCATAATTATAAACGAATCTTACATCTTGAATTGCAATTAAAAGTACCCAAATACATAAATTTCCTGCATACAACAAAATTACCGCCTGTAAATGATAATATTTCCGCGCGTACATTTTTCTTCCTTAGTTACAGCGTTTTAAAGGTTTGGATTTTATAAAAACTGTTTGCTGGAACTAGCCAAACACGTACTATAGTAACTTTGGATAAAAAGTTTACATTGCAAATGGTGACTGGCAGTTAAATCAATATATGTTTCAAAAATGGTAGCAATATCATGGATAGGTCAGACACTATTAATTTTTTTCGAAATTAATAAAGTTTTTTGGCTCTGGTGAACATTGCATATGTCTACTTACAGCAAATGTGCTTTCCTACGTCGATATATTCTCTTAATTACCTATTAAAAGCAGCTGTACGTAACGTACACAACATATAACAAAATTTTAAGGTATAGTGTTAAATAACTTGGGACTCAGTAAAAAGTTAATAATCAGCATCAATTTTCACATATATATGGTCCTTTTTTTATGTAAGCTTTTGAGACGGTACTGAAAAAATCTTGAAGGTGTCTAAGCATTCTCTTTGTTCTGGACTTTATTACAGCCTCATTTTTTGAGACCATTCTCCGGCATCAGTCTTTCTCATGTGCTAGATACACAATTACAGGATATCGAACTTAACGAAATCTGTAAATTAAACCTCATATAAAAGCTAAATGTTCAATCTGTTATTTCCTCGGCATATATTGTAAATTAAAAAAAAATTGGATTTAAATGACGAATTCATAAAAATTTTATCAGTCTTCGAGAATATTTCATCTACACCACTAATGTATTTGTTACTACATATATTTTTTTGGAAACAGTGCTATTAAATTTAAATTAAAGGACGTTTTAATTTTAATTTTGACGTTTTCAGATAATTGCGACAAAATCTTAAAATTACATACATATTTAAATTATACATACTCCCACTGGCGATCATAAGTTCTCATAAGCTTCTTAAAAGTGGGCGTAGAAAAGTATTTCCACGGACTTGGTCTGAACTCCAAAGCCCATGTGTACTCCAGAACCTCTTTTGCGCATGTTATTAGAATTTTCGCCGGATCATCCTCCTTTAGATCGTCCTTCAAACAACCTATCCTGGAACCTAAGCCGACATAAGCCACAGATTCTAACGACCATTTTGTCAGTTCTTCGTCAAAGTTTTTATTTATATTGTCTTTATTGTCCAACTGGTTTTTGAATCTGAAATACAATATTATGTAGTAGAAGTAGGGTGGGTAAGTGGCGGCAAGTCGCAAGATGTCAAATGGGGTAAGAGTTAAGACAACAATTCTTTGACACCAATTTTAATGTATTTTTTGGAGTGCTGGAATTTTTGAAGTAATACTTCTTTAGACGCGACTAGGGAGTAATTTGGATTTTTGAAGTTATACTTCTTTAGGCGCGTTATGAAAAATTGATGAGAGTGAAATTTTTCGATGCGCGCGCACCTGAGACACAAAGTTGTCAGTGTGATTATAGCGTGCGCGAGCGAGATGGGAATAAGACAATCTACAAGTAAAAATAAATAGAATATGCGTAAAGTTAGCAGCTATGCCAAGAATTTTGAATGACCATAATGACTTTTACCTTTTAAAAAAATAAAGGAGTTTTAATTATTTTTTCAAAGAAATATAGCAATGCTTTTTCACAAAGACCTATTGTTACTTAGTTAAAAGGTTATGAAACATACCTAGTTATTAAATTGAATTAATAATTTAAAAAAAAAATATTATTATTAATTAATAATTGAATAATATACTTAACTAAATATTAAATATTATTAAATTATTAACATTAAATATTTATTATTAATTATTTAATATTTAAAAAAAATAAAGAAAGCCAAAGGAGTATAACTTCTTACGCGCGTACATGATTACACGCACCATTTTTTTCTGACGGAAGTACTTCACGCTTTCTATATTTTCCACTATTTAAAAATAACAACGATAGCGCGTTTTATAAGACCGTCAGCGCCATCTAAAGGTGAATATTATAGAATCTCGCAATCGTCAGAAAATTTATTATTAATTTACTTATTTTAAAAGTAATAAATCAATAAGTATATTTAGAGATTTTCAAAAAACTTTGCAATTTAAAACAGTTTTTTTAAAACTATTGAATTTTTTTTTATTCACTTTTCTATTCTCTTATACAACTTGGTTATTTTAATATAAAATAGACCCCATTTTTAAGATAATAATTTGGTATTAATTTACTTCTTCCAAAATGGTAAAATACGAAATTATGCGAAAAAACTGGCCTACTACTATATATAACAAAAGAAAAGCAAGCTAGGATGGGAACCTTCCTTCTTCAGTGGAATTTTAATTTGGTTACATGTTACTAGTATGGATTTTAATTTTAAATATAAATATACTAATAATAACATAATTACATACAAGAATCAGTATCAAATAAAACGAATGAATGCTATCCTAAACCAAGAAACTTACTTAAATCAGTTCAAATAATGCACCACTAGATGGCGCTGACGGACTTATAAAACGAGTTATCGTATTTTTTAAATAGCGGAAACTACGTTTAAGCGTTACTTCCGTCAGAAAAAAAAACTGAGTTACTCCCTAGTCGCGCCTAAAGAAATTTTACTTCAAAAATAACCTACCGAAAGAAATGCGATCAATGAAACAGAAAACTGTCGAGGGTTACAGGACTTGTATTCTTCATAAAAAGTAGAATTTATTATTGACGACGAATGACCGGTACAGGTACCGGTAGGGTACTAATATATACCTACCTACTAATTAAATAGACCTTACTTTAATAACATGTCGTCTGCTATTTCACTTAGCGCAGGTGTATAAAGTTTTACAAGCTTCGGTTTTAAAAAGATTGGGTTTACTTTTGTTCTAAAATCGCGCCATTGAGCCCCTTCACTAAAAAAGTAAAATAGCGATGTTATGCGATGCATTACTAATTTGAAACAACTATAAAATGTTTGTTTCTTATATTTAAGTGGTATTTCATTACGTAATAACTTATTCTCACTGCTTAGACGGAAAATCATGTTTGATTTTTTAATATTAGTTTCTAAAACTTTCAAAAATTAATACATCAAAAGTAGCATTTAAAAGTTAAACGTACGAACGCCACATCTATTATCATAATATTATTATTAGTTAATTAATCGTTCCCTTACGCAGTCGTTAAACCATAAACACCGTCAAAAGTCTTTTTTTTTAGCTCTGTCCTGTAATAAACCAATGTCTGAAAGCCAGGACGAGATGGAGAGATATCTTCTGCCCGAAAAATCTGTAATTTTATGGAAAATATTTGTTGTTATAAGTTTCCGCTCAACATCATTTTAAAATATTTTTTAAATACAAATATGAGTTAGATTCGTTTAATCAAACGTGTCATAGTTTTATAAAAAATCCCATTGTATATACACCCTTATAACTTATTCCTAAAACCCTTCATTATATTAAATGTTATTTAAACTGTTAAAAATATTAAAACTGTATACGGTTTCTTACTTTCTGTAGAAATTTAAATTAGGTGAGGATTTTGATGTTCGAAACCTTATTCCTTTTATATATTATATCGTTACCTGGTCAAAATCTTCCGGCTCGTACAAAATAACAATATCCGCTCTCGAAAAAATACTTAGCTTTACTATCGAACCATAGTTTTCGTAAAAAAGTTTACATAAATCGTAAAATGTTTTTTGAGGTCCAAGGAACCCTAGGGGTAATAAATTTATTTCTTAGTATGTTTTGCAGATTAATACGGATTAATCATAAATTAAATTTGTCTTACCCATCATAGACAAAAACTGTTGTATAGGGCCTAAAACCGGCAAAGGAGTTAAACCTGGGATGGCATCAAACGGCTTTATAGATTCAGACTGTACATTATTTAAATGGTGAGTATGTTTACTAAAAAAAACAAATATTTGCTCAGAGGAAACACTGGTATAACGCCATCTATGTTATGAAAGTGACACACGAAATAGATATTTTAAACACAGCATTTATTCGAAGTAAAAGTGCTTGTTTAATTTTGTCAGTTTTCAAAGAATGCATCATAATTATGGATAATGGAATGCAGTTTATCCTCCTTATTTTTATTACATTACATTTATAGTACGTACTTACCCGCGCGTAATATTAGGATGTATGGATCGGTTGACCAAATACGGTGGTGGTACAAGTTCTATAATTTTACGTAAAAACATAATTCTTAACATAAATAATATAATCGATTTATTAGGAGTTATATGGACAAAATGCTTGAATCAGTATCTTAATTTAGCTAAATCGTTATGACCTTGATAATTTAATAATACGCGTCAATGTTAAATTAGGTTGTAGCTTATCTATCTTATAGATTCTTTACAAATATTTGAAAAATACTTTATGTAAAAATATTATAGTTATATGTAGTGTCGGCAAAGCTTATGTTTGATTGATTTTACTTAGATATATGCATTAACAGAAACTAATAAAAATATAACATCGTTTATAAACACAGACTATAAATTGTCAATATAATATCAGACAACTGACATTTGTCACTTTATGAGTGATGAAAGGCTAAGTGCAGTTGCGGTCTGCGGAGTGAGGGGTAATGGCAGTAAGTTTACACAAAAATAACTTAGATAAATATTTGGTACAAATAATAAATTCAGCTGTGAATAATAATAACGATCATTTTAAAAGAACGATGGCTTTAAAATAGGACGTAAATGTAAATAAGTACTGATTATTTTATAAAACTCGTTCTTAGCATAAATCATGATCTCTTTGTCACGAAGAGAACATAAAATATCGATCGATTACGAAAGAGTTTAGTTATGTATTATTGTAAAATAATTGACTAAAGATTCATACTGCTTTTGCCATTGTAATAATAATAATAAACCGTATGCTTGTGTTACATAGGAACGCAGTGTTATTTATAGAAGTATGCTTTGTAAACTATGGTAGCAGAAGTCCGCAAAAATAAACAGTTATTGTTTAAAATGAATGTGTAATAAAATGCATGAAGATCTCGAAATAAAGTGATAACAGTGTTTTACGCGCCCTGGTCTTCAATTTTCGTCCATGTATTGTTGCTCTTTTCTGTAAGTATTAACAAATATCGTTTTTAATTCATTATATCATACATATTACATAAAAGCATGGTATTTTTTGTAACATATTGGAAATTGAGCACTAAAATACTGCTCAAAATTACAAAACAGCAACTATCCTTAGCATCATTTGAAATAACTTTAATAAAAATATTAAACTTACATACACATTTTATTTACCCATATTGATACATATAGATCATATTAATGATCAAATCTGTAGTTTAATTATTTTATTGTAAATAGTTTTCTGGTTGTAGATCAAACTTTGAATGATGAATTTTAATTGATTGTCCAAAAAGTTGATATACCTTATTATTTACTATGCTTAGTCTATTATATATTATTGATTATATTATTTTGTTACCTATACTGGGAATTAAATTGAAAGTAATGGAGGTTTTATTAGATTACTTGAAATTTATATTTTGATTGAAAATAATATCATTATATGAATGCTAAACTTTAAATAAAGCCAAAATTGGTAATGTATTCATCATTCAATTGTCGCAGTGAATTAAATCAGGAGCAATCTGTTGCAATTGATGAATCATGACATACTACATTCTGCATATCATATTACTTCCATGAAAATGTTTCCAATTACAAAGCAGATTCAGCTACTTTTAAGCTGACCGCATTGATTTAGTAGACTAAATAATAAACTAGGCTAAGCTAGCTCATTCAACACAATGACTACAATTGAACCTTAAGTATTACAGCCTGCATTCTAAAACATAAGCAAACTCACATCCATAAATTTTAACCCTTAAAACTATCTGAGGCTTTTAAAAAAATTAAAATAAGCACTCAAGACATAAAGAAAATTATTCAAGATTAGTTGTAGACTTTAGAGTATGGGTCTAACTTTGTTATGGAAGAATGTTTTACAAATTGTTTTCTAGTTTATCCTTATACAATATAATTGCTATTAATAATGTATTTTCCTTTTATGTTTTAATTATCATTTAGAATTAACGCTGCTAGTATCTGCATTGTTTCCGTTACAATTAACTGCTTATATCAACTGTATGTTTTAATATTGAACAAATTTTATAGAAACAATAATTACTATGAATTTTATTATTACATTTATATATAAAACTTTTTAGTCTTAATCAAAAATTAAATAAAAAGTACATGAAATAGTGACTTGAGAACTTATTAATATAAGTAGAGCTGAAATCTAATTAAATTATTGAATTAAAATTTGACAACTGTTAGTCCAAGTTCATAAACTCAGATTTCTGAGTCTGTTTCACTGATAAGTTTGTCAAGAATTTAAAGAAAACTAAATTTTCACTTAAATAAATGTGAATTTATTACATTATTTACATATATTAATTAGTTATATCAGATGCCTCTTAGAAAAGTAGATGGTGAGCTTCTGTGTTTTTTTAGAAAAACATTTGTTGTATTTTTTTTGTCTTAGACAGTCTGTCTATGATTAAAGCAGACTAATAGCTCAAAAATTATAATAGCTCAATTAATTATATCCTAGTAAAATTTAAAAAACATGTCTACAAGGTAGGAGATTTAAAAAAATGTTTTAGACGCTTCACTGGAAGGCTAGCCTATGATTTACTGTATTTAATGTAAACAGTTCTCGGCTGGGAGTCGGCATGGCGAGCATGAGCTCAACGCTCGTCGAAACGGTCTCCATCAACTATGAGGACTTTAACGAGAGCTTCCTCACCTGCGGCACCTGTTTATGTTAGTACACTACCATTTATAAGCATGCCACTATTTGCTACTACACATAGCACAAATAGAATTGCTATAATTATTTTTTAGTTAAATGGATTGTGGGCTACCAGTTACTAAGTGAGGTAATGTATAGCAGGATGGAATTTTATTCTACCGCGGAAGTAAATCTAATATTTACTACCGCTAGACTTGAGATTCATTAAATTATAAGATATGCAGTCACGCAACTGACCTTTAGTAATATTTACTATAAAAAGTGTTATCGGAATCACAAAATATTAAAAACTTATGCTACATTATATATTATACTGAAAAGTTGTGAAGTCATTGAACTTATATTGATAGTGACCAAGCATCAATTTCTCTTAACGGACAAATTTACATTAAAACTAAATATATTATTTGTTTATATAATGTCGATTTATTTCTTCGTTGCGTAAGTTATTTACGTTTGGTGCCCTACTCCTAATATTGAAATTACGACTCGTTTTCTCAGTTACAAAATTGGAGACGTCAAGAACATCTGTATAAACAATAACGTTTACCCCTTCAAAGTTATTTTTCAACAGTTTTTAAATAATTTTCAATTGAATCTCGTGAATCTGGATTCAGGATATTTCATAAAAAGTATTATATTAGCTTACTAAAACAAATGATCGTCACGTCTTTTTTTTACAGGTACGTACGATGGCGGCGAACATACTCCAAAATTGCTTCCGTGCTCCCACACTGTGTGCTTACATTGCCTCACTCGTATAGCAGCCTCACAAACCCGGGACGCTGGTAGCTTCCGCTGTCCTATCTGTCGCGAACTCATCACCATACCGCGCGGAGGCGTCCCAGCATTACCACCCTCATTCCTCGTCAATCAGCTTTTAGATTTAATGGCAAGACAACGCCGCGAAGTTATACCCCAATGCAGTTCCCACCCGGGAAGAGAGCTTCTCTTTTGCGAAACCTGTGACTGTGTTTTCTGCAGGCATTGTGCCGACGGTCCCCACAGTGATACACCCTGTGATCACACCGTAGTGCCGTTTTCGATAGCTTTAAAAAGAATGTCTGAAATACTCTTGTATAGAGCCAATGAGTGCCTGAGTAAGCTTGGAGCGGCCAGGGAGGCCGTGGCAAGTGAATTGAGAAGATTAGAAGCGGCTGCTACTGCGGCCGATGATGCTATAGATAGACATTTTGCAGAATTAAGAAATGCTTTAGATAAGCGACATAACGAATTAAAATCGGCTGCCAGTGCCGCTGCAACGCATAAACGGAAGCTACTTGAAGAGCAACTGAAATTAATAGATGCTGAAAAGACGAAGGTCAGTTAACTCGATAGATATTAATTATTACTATTATTAGAAAGTGTTCCGTTTTTCTATATGAATCAAAACATTGTATTATTGTTTCAATTCTATTATAAACTCAGCTTACAAACTGATAAGAATGTGAGGATATACAAATACTACAATAATAACAGCTATTCTTTTAGCCAAGCCTATTACAGTGGACAGTGATAACGATGTTTTCTCTCTAGATAATTGGGATGATAAGGTGTACACTGTACAAGTGTCACAGGTTCCACACTAAATATTATTGTTATTATGTAATGCAGTGGAACTGAACTCCCTATCTCCGCTTGATGTTCCGGTTAGGATAGAAAGTTTTTGATTAAAAACTCGTATTCTTTTAGATAAAAACAAGCATATATTTAATTTATATTTAAAACACACTATATGACATATATAAAAATAATAAATGTATAATATTTTCTATAGATTAACTTAATGTCTAATGTTCTAACATAACAATAGCAGAAGAGGGCTATTCGTGCAATCTATAATTTAAAATGTAGGGAATCTCTTAGAGATAAATTCAAGGAAATTAATGTACTTACCTTTCCCTCGCAATATATTTATGAAAATATTATGTATGTATACAAAAATAGTGATAAGTTCACTTGAATAGAACATACGCACAATGTTAATACACGGAACAAACGCAGGCTGCAATTTCCCCGTACTAGACTATCTAAAGTTAGTAATTCTTTTTTGGGGAAAGGGATACTCTTCTTTAATAAAATCCCAGAGGCTCTTTTATCACTGCCTTTCAATAAATTTAAGAAATATATTAAAGAAAAGCTGTGTAAAAAGGCTTACTATAAAGTCAACGATTATCTAGTTGATAAAAGGGCCTGGGACTAGTGCTAGACAGGCTACTTCTAATTAATTTGCGATATTTGTTTTAAATAAGTGTTGTTTGATGATTTGCTGTTTTAAAAGAGTATTTAACATATTTTATTTTTTATTTTAACTACAGAAGATTTACGAACAAAAAAAAACATCCAAAAAAGAAAACAAAAACAAAACTTGCTAATGTTGTAAACGACCACCTTGGCCTGCATTTTCAGCTTCCTTCACATAGAATGCATTAGTACTAATAAAAAATTATGTATATTTTTACACCTATCACACATTTAACAAAAATACACTGAAAGATTACATCGCGTTTTATAATCACAAATTACTAATTTTGAATTTAAAATAAATTATAGAACTATAGCTTCCAACCATGATCACAGGCAAAATTAAAAGCGTTTAAATTCGATTAAGTATATTTTAGTTTTAAAATTCTCGACACAATACTGTTAGTTAGGTGTTTGTAATTCCAGGTGGAAGCAGAATGTAATGGCCTCCAGCAGCAAGTAGAAGTTCGGGAAGTTAGTAGTCGTGCAGCAGCATTGGGAGCTAGATTGGGTGATGCAGCAGCTCTAGCTGAACCACGGGAGAACGCCTTTTTAGCTGTAGACTTCGCGCACAATGATGCTCACCAGAGGTTGACTGAAGCTTTGGCTGAACTGGGAAGGGTTCGGACCAGTACAACATTCCCTGGCTTATGCACTTTACAGTTAGGTATGTAGACTTGGTTTAAATTGCCATAACTCCATTCAATACTAATCTATCTAAACTAGATATAAAAAAGCCCACTTGTTTACTGAAAATGCCAATTAAAAAAACTACTGTACTGATTGTTTTTTAGCAATTAAATCAACTTCTGTTTTCGGACAAGATTTCTTGCTATCCGCGCCTTGATAGCTTTGATTACTGATGGTTTTCTTGCGGAGCGTGGCCGGCCAGTTCTTTTCTTGTCCTCAACACTGGAGACTTCATTGTACCTATCAATAGTACGGTACACAAACCTAAGCGCTATATTCAAATTTATGAGCAACTTAAAACCACAGCAGTGCAACGCAATAACAGCTATTCGGTTTTCTTTCATTGTCCACTCCATCGTGGAAAATTATGGAAAGTGATTGTTTTTTGTTTTAAAACAATAGTCAAACATTCAAAAATAGAATGCAATCATTTTTTTATAAACAATGTTCGAAATTTAAAAATAATGTGCCAGTGACAGAGCTTTGGGACCGACTACGTATGTAATCTAGTTTTTATTCCACCATAATTATTTCTTCAGTTGTTTCGACTAAGGCTCTCACAATTAATGCCGTCAATCTTAATTATTTTATATTATGAAAATAATCTTAAATCATCAGCCTCTAGATTTTTAAAAGTAGTAATTTATTTTAGATAATGTTTTGAAGAAATATAGTATATAATAATTTATTTAACAGTAGATAGAAGTATACAAGACAAATTATTTATTACTTAATACACGTAGCCATAATATGTAACATCGAGCTTAAGTTGTGCTGACCTAGAAGCATAATATTACATATTGATTTTTCTACGGTAAGGTTTTATATTACCAACACATATTAAATGAAAAAATATTCCTGAATAGTAAGTATTGTCATATCTTCGGTCCTCGTGGCGTGATGTGTAAGCGCAGAACAGAAACGAGAGTTTTATTTAGGGCCAGTTTTTTGATCCGTAGTAAAAAATGGTTTTACCATTTGTTACATTAACTATAGTTAAATGAATAACCATTGGTAAAATCGTAAATGCGTTTTTCAATGCCTTTTTTTAACTATAGTTAAACTTAACAATTTGTCAATTTGTTGCCAGTGCAATGAGCAATGACATCCCAAAAAATGTGGTTCTTTTTTTGTGGGGAACATTTATTTTGTATGACAACACTAGACATATTGAGTGAATGAAATCCATTTTTGCCATCTTCATTCGTTATTTGCGCTTTGAAGAGTTTGAAGTGTCAAATTAATCTAAATAACACGATATAAATAAAGTTGTTTTTTTTGTGATTTAATACGGTTTACACTTTTTTACGATACTTAAATATATAAATAACGATGTCCGCAAACAGCCAACGGTCAAATAAGTAAGTACAAACATATTTTCGTGTTATTTATTCCGGTTTATCTTGTGTTTCGTAATAGAAAGTAATACATTTATGTTTTGTTAAAGGGACCATACTGCTAACTTCGCCAAAAAAAGAAACTGCCAAACTGGTGATGCTTCTCAAGGATTACACAGTCGTAACCTGCAAACAACTGATCACTGCAGCAATCTACAAAAAGATGCAGCTTGGAAATCTCTGTGACGTTTTCAACTCAGATGGGTCTAGACACCGAAGTGTTAAATTTAATATACATTTAATGAAGGTGTAGGCACATTTTTATATTTATTCTTGTATAGCTGTGTCCTACAGCAAAAGGAAAAAATCTTTTAACCCTTTGGAAACAAGGAAGCGGATTATGATCCACATGGATAAAAAAAATTGAGTTTTTGAAACAAAGACAAATAAGAGAGGATGATTTGTTCAATTATGCTAAGGAAGAGCATCATAAACATTTGCTGCACCAATGAGAGGCCCACCAAAAATTCATACTGCATAAAGAGGAGGTGCACCAAAAAGTGATGCAGCAGATGGAAGAAAGGCACAATAAATATATGTAGCAGCAAAAAGAGTTGCATCAAATTGAGGTGAAATGCAAGAAGAAACAATTAGAAAATATTTAATTGCTACTTTAGGGTTTCATGTAAATTTTGTAATGTTTTTTTAATAAAAATGGTTTGTATTTAAGTTATAATTAAACAGTTTATTAATCAAGTCAAATGTTTTATTTATAAATTCTTGTAATAAAGTAGGTAGATGCTAACTCACAAATGTAATAAAAGCCCTAAAGAATATCATAGGTCCCTAACTAATGTGTAGCTGTAGATTTTAGTATAAGTACATACTTGTATGTGCTTATAATAATTATAAGTTAATATTATTAGTAATATATAAATAATATTAACTCTAATTCATTATGTATTCTATTGCCTATAATATTAACTTATGATAATTAGAAGTTAATATTATAGGCAATAAAACACATAATGAATTAGTAATATACTTAATTATATACCGCTGCGGTTCTGTAGCTAGTAATGAAGCAAAATAGGTTTGTATGAGCTGCTGTCTATATATACTCTTGTTCTTGTATTTTATTTAATTATAATAATTATAAGTTAATATTATAGGCAATAAAACACAATGAATTAGTAATATACTTAATTATATACTGCTGCGGTTCTGTAGTTAGTAATGAAGCAAAATAGGTTGGTATGAGCTGCTGTCTATATATACTCTTGTTCATTGGCAGTTTAAGATCATTCCCAATTTCAGTAACAATCCAGAGCACTGTTCCCTTCGATAGGGGGTAACAGTGACAAAAATCTACATCATCCCAGGTTTCTAATGGCGGATGACATTGCCTAAATATTTTTGGTCACTCATTAACACATTCTCATATAATATTATCGTCTTCTTCATCGTCTCATTAATTAAAGTATCTCAATATGTTTAAATTCATCATTAGATAGTAATAAACGTATTTATCATAGTTTGATTTCTGTGACAAACAGCTGTTACTATATAAATTACCAGCGGCCATCTTTTTAACCCTCCGATACTGAGTAGTTAACTTTTTTGACTAATGGTTAGATATTTTACCATTGGATGCTCTTACCACGGATCAAAAAACGCATTTTGCTGATATTTAACTAATAGTAACGATTTTTTACCAATAGTTGAGTTAACTACGGATCAAAAAACCGGCCCTTAGTGATGCAGATGCAAGGCAGTAAATACAATAAGTGAAACCAAAAGTTTAGGGAACTTTTAGTCGATTTGTAAAAGTCTGTACAGGCTTTTCTTCGTTATTATATTTTACCAACCTGAAGAAAGATTCTGTGTCACCGCTTGGGTTGAAATATTAAAGAGAATTATTGATCCTGTTTCATTACGTCATCAGACAGACATTCTCTTCAGTAAAGACCCATTAAGATGGAAAGAGTTTCGTCTAAACATACTCACCAATTGCTCTTCCACATTGGCGACAATTGCCTCGCAATGGAACATTTATTGTGTCCGTGTAAACAGAATTCCAAAAGCAATAATCGTATTTCCAGGTTTTGTGGCAGTTGCTACCATGAGTGTAGTGCGTGAGGGTGTTTTAATTATTAATACAAGAATTAATTAAACGGAAACATAAAAAAAGATTTTGGGTTAAAAAATGGGTTTTATAATTAATTTAACAAACACAAACAACAAACACTCGTAACTTCTAAAAAGTTCAATAAACTTAATATTATCGGCATTCCCAAAATTAAAAGGATTTTTGTGTCATTTTTGAGGCAAAAATTCAATACAATACCCTAGTAATCACTAAACTCGAATGAAACATCTCGCACTGAAAACGGTTCAAACCGATTTGTACGATACTCGTATGAACATTAAAAAATATCATACGAAATCGTGTTTATACTAGTCGAGATTCTCGTAAGTAAGAATCTTCTAACTAAAATGTCGATGTGTAAACAGACGCAGGAAATTATCGCCGATAAATTACTGGTGTTTCTCGTATCACCTCTCGTATAATCGTAGGTGGGAATTTAATTCTTGTCTGTATGTAAACATTTTGATACGATAATGCTATGGCGATTATTGCTGGTGATAGTCGCGTACGATTTCTCGCACGTTTTGATGCGAAACTCTCCATCTAAATGGGCCTTAAGTTGGTTGGTAGTAGTTTACTTCTGTAACAAAACGTACATGAACTACCTTTCCGAACGCAAAATTCTGTACAGTTACGTACCAAGACTTGACTCTTTTTAAAAACGCTCTCTAAAAATAATATCATTTCAGAATCATCTTGTGTCTGTGGTCTGGAAGTGGTAGTCTCTCTTCGCACTGTGGATTATCATGGTGAAGCGCGGAGCACTGGCGGAGATCCCGTTACTGCAGCCGCTACACTTGATGATGCGCCATTACCTTGTACGGTCACTGACTTAGATTGTGGGATGTACAGGTAAGGGGTGTTTTATTCCTTTTTTAAATTTTACTTACGGGTTTTTGAGTTTGCATAACTCGGGCTTGAGTAAATTGGACTGTGTAATAAAAAGAGAAGTTAACATTTTTTGTGTTAAATTGTGAGAGCATGACTGACCAATATGATGTAATCGTAGATATGTTATTTAAGTTATTCTTACACCTTGTTTGTCCGTTCTAGACAAATTCTTTAAGCTCTCTTAATTTCACATATAACAGCTTGATGATCTATCATAATCTGTGTCAAGAAGTAGTCTCTCTAGATATAAGCTACGAAAAACATACAATTTTTTATTAAAAAAAGCTAAATGGTATCAAATATGTAACCAATTAGTTCACAATATAATATCACCAATAAGAAAATTTCGTGTGTTTTACAATATTGAAGAATGATTGATTTCAGAATAACAATGCGTCCGTGGAGCGCAGGCGCGATTTGCGTACGCGTGCTCGTGTTTTCGCGATCTGTACGTGATTCGCCATTACGGGCACGAGTCGAGACGCATGCTGCACCCGAACTAGTTTGGGGGTCACGGGGCACGGGCAAGGAACAATTAAGTCAGCCGGTTGCGCTTGCTAGGTAATTATCAAAATTTATAGCCTTATTAAATAATGTGTCTAATTTATTTAAAAATTCGTTATATTGTGTATACTCTTTGAAAAGAGATAGATCAGGGCTTTAGTTTAATAAGTGTTATAAGTGATACATATGTATATATTAATAAGTTAAAAAAACTAAATAGAAACTTACTTTACTACATTTATGTTTAACTAACATTTTTAAGGAACTTGTTTAAATCAAATTTGACGGGGACGGTTTAATCTTTTGTATATATCAAATTAAAATATAAGAATATAAATATGTGCAATGTTCAATATGTAACCAAAATACTTTTAAAAATTCATCTTACACTCGAAACAGAAAACTAGTATTCATGATCGAAGTGTCCACCGTGTCTCAGTTTTGAGAAAAATAGAGAGTTAGCATAATTTTGCATCAGCGTTTTTGATATTATTTTTGTCAATTAATTTTAGTTAATATATTTTTAGGTGTCCCAAACGTCGAGAGATATACGTTCTTGACGCTGGAAATTCTCGAGTGAAAGTATTAGATGATGAAACATTTGCATTTAAAACTCACATAGTCAATGAAGGTAAGGATATTCATGTATGGCGTTTATATTTTATAGTATTTTCTTAAATTGATTAATTTTTAATAATTCAGAAACCATTCAGTAAACAATTCTCTTCCATCAAATTTCATGTTGCTCGCAAATACAGTGTAAACTCTATATAACGACACCCAAGGGACTGTGCCTATTTTGACGTTACAAAGAGTAGCCGTTAAATGGAAGGAAAAATCTGTATTAGAAAAACTTTAGAGGTGTCAAGGGACACCCGGATGGAACGAAATTCCTTTCGATTAATTTATATGTTAATTGGTATCATAACAGTATGATAGATTTTCTCGACACCAATCTTACGACGAAAAAAAAAAGCCAACATCACGAGGTGTTCCCAGGCGGTCACCCATCCAAGTACTGACCTCGCCCGACGTTGCTTAACTTCGGTGATCGGACGAGAACCGGTGTATTACAATAGCAAATAGCAAAAAAGTGTCGTGACAACTTTTCGTAAGAATTTTTTCCGTCTAGCCCCCCCCTTTCACAACGCGCGATAAGGAACTTCGTTCCAAAAAGAAAGTTTATTTCAGACTAGTGTTGGTAATTACATAAAAATGAACGCTATTGTTATTTTTGTACTTATTTAATTCATATCTTGCATATTGAGGCAAATTCGTGATAAAGCTCATGCAAATATGCCCAATTTGTAAAAAGTAAAAAAAACGCATCTTGGAAAGTTCTGTACGTATCACGAGTAACGACAGTCGAGTTTATTTCTCGCTAGGACAATAAAGCGACAAAACAAAGTACACAGCTCCGCAGTTTTAACTAATTTCGGCAAAAAAGTACTCTCTAGTGTTACTTGTTGTCGTTATTGAGGGTGGGTGTAATTCTATGTAGAGAGTATCATTGTATGGAAGACAAGCTAAACCAACCAAAGCCGAGTGACTTCGTTGCTTTAAGGAGATTGTCGTTATACCGAAGGATGTTACATGGAGTTTACACTGTACTTGTTCGTACGTTGAAATAATCTTGGGAAAAGTCAGATCATAGACACAAAAATTTACAAAAGTCATAAGTTGTTCTCCTTGCAAGTAAAATGGTCAATGCTACGCAGAAAACTTTAATTCATTTATTAATTACTAAAGCATCTAAGTCTATTCTAAATTTAAAACCATATTAAAATAATTTAAAATATAAATTTCCAGGTTTAGCAGGTCGCAGTTGTACAGGTATAGCTGCGACGGCAGAGGGCGTGGTAGCAGTTAACTGGCGAACTAGAACTGTCACTGAGGTAATATAGACAAAAATATTTACCTTCACGAGGTTTTAATAAATAAACTAAAAACTTTAAATATACTCAAGTTAAAGGTATTTAGTTATTTTAATTGTACTCTTGCTACGAAGTGTGTATTTAAGAAACAATTCGCGGTATCTTGTCCACATTTCCCTTCTCTCTTCAGTCTTTCTTATTTAACATTAACACCTTATAGGAAAATAATTTTCAATTAATATAATAACATTCCAATAAATTTCATATGAAGTCAAAGGTTTCACGAACATTTTTTTTTTCTATTACAAAATCGCACTTCACTTAAAGAATATTTCTAAATAATAAATTTTTATAATCCTTATTCGACTGCAAATTTTAATACCAAATTCCATTTTATAGTATATATACAATAAAATATGTTATAGGTGAATATAGACGGTTCTACTCTCCGCACAATAAAGTCAGATCGCTTAGTGGAGCCCGTGTGTGTAGCGGCCGATATCGACTCGAGAAGACTGGCTGTGGCCGACAATGGAGCTAGAACTGTGTTTGTGTTTGACGGGGACGGGAATATTGAGAGAGAGGTATAATATTTTTAAACGACTTCAGAAAAACTATGTGTATTTTTTTGATCATTTTGACAAAGTAATCTTTCTAGTGGAATTGAAATTGCCTATCCTATCAACTCGAAATAACATTGTTTTATTTTATTAGAGAATCGAACCCATACGCCTTCGATATATAAATCTTTGCAATAACGTAAATAAGAAACTTTTTTTACAAAAATATGTTTTTCAGAAATTAGAAAATAAAAATCCGTATCCGCCGTATCTAATGATATTTGATTTGATTATTATAATTAGTAAAAAATTCATAAAATTATAAGTCTTCATTGTAACGTTGAATTATACATAACTTGAGAGTAATATACAAAATACTATAGGAGTCACCATAAACAGATTTGTTTTGTAATGTATAAGTATTTAACATTGTTATTTCCGTTTCAACCAGCATCTCGATTTAACATCAAACTCTCTAACATCCTTCTTCGAAATTACTTTACTTTCTTGCTTTCTTGTTCATACAATGTAACGTGCTGAACGAACATTATAACGCCAGAGAATGCGCTTTACAGAGCTTATACTGTATTATTAAAATTATCTTCAAATCAAAGTTGAGTAATATTAATATAATTATATCGGACAGAGATATTATTAATATAATTATTAAGGCCCTTTAGGGCAACAGCGAGATTCCCTAAGGAAAATTTCTCAGCCAAGTGTTACAATATTTTCAGATAGATAGCGGTAACTTGGGTCTAGTGGGTGGTCTGGCGCTCACTGAAGACTTGATAATTGTGGCGGATGTCGCGGTGAGGATTTACGACTCTGAAGGGAATTTGCTGTCCATACGTGCGACTGTGCCTAAAGGTTAGTTTAATTAAAAAGCCAAAATCAGTTATTATATCTTAATATATTTTTTTATATATAACATAAATTATATATATAAAATCATTCATATAGGTTAGCCAGCGTTCAAGTCTTACTTCACGCAATTTTTGGAGATTATTGACGCCTCCCCCCCCATGTAACGCGCCGTAACGTTTTTCTGTACCCAAGTATAGTAAAACGTTTCGTGACCACCTAGTGACTCTTTATACCTAAAAGTTACCATTATGTGGTGTAAAGTACTGGACAGTCGAAAATAATATTAACAATAAGGCGTAATTCAATCCCCGCCCCGTATCGTAAAGGGTTCCTTTTGTAAAACGTTACGATACCAATAAAAAATCGTTACGTACTTGAACGCTCCCTAACACCATGTACACTAAAGCTTAGGTTTCCTAGAAAGGCGGTGCCTTATCTAACGGCCGTAATGTAACGTTGGGTGACGTCACCCATATATCACCCGTTGTCTATAAATAACATGGGAGTAGGTTTTCTAGAGAACGTTGAGTGTCACCGTAACGTCAAATAGCGGTGCGGTCATTTGTATGACGGCTGTCATAGCGGTGATAAACATTAGTTCAACGTTTTTCGCGTGTAGCGGTGCCCATATTTAATTAAGTTTTTTGTTTTACACAATGTTTATATATATACGCACAGTACCAAGGAGTATGGAAGTCTTAATAGACACTGTAAGAACTTGTTATAAAAATGGTGTACTGCTTAAGAAGTAAAAATATGTGTGCAATGTTATTTGGCCTCGGTACGTTTGCTATGGACACTCTATCAAGCTCTGATTTTCTGTGAGGCCATTGAGAATTTATGTATGGGAACTTATAAACAGTATAATAAGAAATTCAATTGTATAAAGACGTACTTATAACGGCAAAACATAAATATTTGTAATACCACCCGGACTTTGTATGACTTGTCTATTATCAACCACCACATAAAAGAATTTGATTACCACCGAATTAACATTTAATAAAATAAAATTATGAGTTTTTGCATGCATTTATTGAATTTATTATCTTCAGGTCGCGGCGGTTATGGCGGCATAGCTTTAGAGCGCACCGAAAATGGTTTGCACATCGTATGCGCACGTTCCATACGCGGCCGGCCCGCTATCATAGTACTGGAAGCAGAGGGCTCGGGTGGTATAGTGGCGGGGTGTGAACTGACTGAAAAACGACCCAGGAGGGTCGCGGGTTTGACGCTTCTGCCTAATAAAAAGGCGTTATTGGCTGACCTGGCGGGAGACTGTTTGAGACTGCACACTTATTGGTGAATGGTTAGTGAGTTATTAAGTATAGCGAGTAAAATATACAAATTATAGTAGTATTTATACGCATCAAAACCGTATCCGCTTTATAAAATGTAGAGTTTTAAGGTTATATTACTTCTATTTAAACAGAATGGTAACCATGGTAAAAAATAATGTGGCTTTCTACGTTTAATAATAAGGCCGTAATGTTTTTGGAGATATGAAATAATTAAGTTATCTTCTGAAAAATATAATTTTCTGTGTTTCAAGTTCGGCACGGTATTGATAAACAGCAGAAACATGTTTGCATCTGTTCACTGATATGTTTTTGATTGTTTTAAAAAGCTGGTCAGGATTTGTGCCGGACCCGAAACAATGACTGAGAATCAGATCAAAGGCCTGCGGTTCATGTCCCATGATGCACCTGGCTGATATTTTCTTTAAATAGAGCTTCTTTAACGGATATAAATTATATTTATATAACTCGACGTTTCAATTGTTTCGCGAAATATCTATAAAACCTTTAAACAATAAATTTGATCAAAGATATGATCAAAGATATAAAAATAAAATTATTTCAATATATCTCGAGCACAACACATATGGTGCGTTCCACTAAGCGCTCACGACGATCACGCTCACGACCGCTGATTTCCCCATTCCACTTGATTGTGAATGTTACTGTCGTTTACTCAAGTGGAATGGATTATGGAGCGTTTCGGGCGTTCATGTAAATATTACAAATGTCAAGTTTGAAAATAGTAGAATTTTAAGGAGGTTAGGTAATCATAAACAATAAGTTTTGATATTTGTGACTTAAATTTATTTATGTTAAAAGTGAAGAATAATTGAATATTTTATAAATAATTTTGGTGAAGTTATCAAACAACTTAAGTTTAAATATAATCGAAATGGCTTTACAATTTCTCTTTCTGAATCGAATAATGTGAATTTTCTTGTCGCCATCTTTAAGCTTTGAATATAATAATATTATTATTTGTCATATTTCAAAAATTGCGCCAAATTATTCTCAACGTTCACAACGACCCACCTCTTTAGATGGGTCGTTGTGAGCGTTGCGTGAGCATTTGTCATGACGTCATGAGTGACGTTTTCGCCGTGACCACAACGACCGCGGTCGGTATGTGGAATGGCTAAAGGAGCATTTTGATCGTCGTGAGCGCTTAGTGGAACGCACCAATAGCGAATGTTTGCCACAGCAAGTCATACATAACTTTATATTATAAATTAGTCTTAAAATATTGACATATCGCTATGGATAACATAAAATTACTCTTAATTTTTAATATCTTATCGTATGTACTAACTTGATATGGCAGTCGTTCGCTCACGCAGACGCTTCAGCGAGGGAACACGGTTAATTCGTCCATTTATTTATTTATAGCCGCACCAACAAGGCCACACAACAAAAAACAAATTGAATTATAAAATTATAACCAATGCGTGGCCCAAACATAATGCTTATAAATAAGTTTACAAAGATAAATATTACAAAAATAAGACCCTAAACTATTGCTGTTGGGGGCCGTGGCTTTGTGGTGGGATGCGGACAAGGCCACGCTGTTATCGTGTCCTATCTGGAGGCGTCGTGGGTATGCCCAGTAGAGTCCCACATAACTCCACCACAAGGCAATCTCTCGCTGATGTGTAGTACTCGCGTAAATCAAAGACAATTTTAATGATATCTTGATAAAAAATTTTTTTTTAAAATAGTAGATTTATATTATGATTAAAAATTTTTCCCTTTTCAGAAGGTGAACGAAATGAGTGAAAGTCGTCAAGGGGGAGTGATGAATGGTGAACGAATTTCATGCTAGTCCGTTGTAACTGAGAAACGAATGATGGCCATAATCTCGCGCGATTCCTACCAAAGACGTAGTGCCGAGAGCACGGACGCCATGCGAATGAAAATGTCACATACTTAGTACCACGTAGTGCCCAATAGATGGCGTTGTTTTTAAATTTAAAATAAAATCATATCTATTCAATAAAATTAATCGAAAAATATTTTTCAACGTTATGAAATATTTTCATTCGCGCGGCAATAGTTGTACTTACAGTATTTATTTCGTTTTAAGTTTCTCTAAGAACTCAATGTTTATGTAGTTAATTTTTCGACTGATTTTTTTTCTATGTGACGTATTTTGTTTGTCGATTTTCGTATTTCTTACTAGTCCTGTTATTCCTTTAGTTCACGTGTTTTAACACGCTAAGTATAAAGGAAATTTATTCAATGTCTGAGTCGAGACCTCATTTGAATGACAACAATAATGATAAGAATGTTAATGAAAATCATTAAAATATGCTAATACAATGATTCACTTCAGACTGTTTTCGCGTAGTTCCCGTTCTCGTTGCGTATTTTTAAAATCGAAATTATATCAAGAAATATACGCTAATAATTTGACGTGTTCCCACGTTGTCAATAATTTCATGACAATTAATCTCGCAATTTCTTAGGGGCGTATTTAAAGCGTAACTGAAAAGATTAAAAAAAACACATTTCTAATTAATTTTTAAGGCCATCGAAATAGATTAAAATTTAAAATTCTGCTCAATGTTACGCCATATCATATGACATTTCATTAGTTCAAGTTTAGCTATGGTAGTGAAGGCGCTAGAGTAATTTAGTTTTTCAATTTAACATAGACCCTTCACCATTTAAATTCATTGCTTTATTAGCAGGTTTCGCTAGGCTGATATCCCAGACATCGCCAGATAAAATAATTCCACAAATGTAATATAAATTTTGGTTAATTTGTTCTAAAATTGTCTTTACTATTTAAAAACTTAATAAATAATATTATAAGTTGTCTTTTTAAATCCTCAATAATTATGGGTAATTTCTCGATTTTTAAAACGTTGTTCTTGCGAATAATCTTAAAATATTTCTAGAAAATGTCATAATTTAATATATTATATTACATTTGCCATAGTCGCGCAATGGGATTTGAAGTACGCGAGCGATGGTACCCTCTGAGTGGGCTCGCTCTTAGTAAAATGCTTCTCTTTTGCATCGTATACACTGCGCAGTTTTTTCCGCGAAATATTGATAATTCAAAAAGATTCGCGGTAATTACCATAGTACCTGTTGTTTGACAATTGACATATTGTTCTCTTATTGGCTGATGTCTTAGCCCAATCACGTAGAAATGAAATATTCCATATTGTAAAACTTTTCAGGCAATTATCTAGACTATACCTATTTACTATGAGCTAATGAGCTTATGTTTAGAAATTGCAAAGTAACATAATGTCTCGAATATCCTCTTAGCCATGCCATTTATCATATAATATTATACATCTCTTTACTATTTCCAAATATTTTGTTAAAGCAACTATTTTGATAATAAACTCGACAATAATTTTTCTCTTTAAAAGTAATTGTTTTCAATTATTACATATTAATATAAAAGTTAAGTGAATTTTTGGTTCCGGGAAACAAAAACATAAGATAAATTAATAGTAATTTCCGTATTTAACTATCACGAATTTTTAGACTAAATTCACGAACATAGTCGAATATTGTACTAGAACCATGGCCTCTGTAACTTCCAATTGCGATCTTAATAATAAGCTTTTGTACCGCGCGATCGCAACTTCAGCGCTACGAATAATGAGAGAAGTACATTGTCGCTATTGGAAGTTACAGAGGCTTAGGTTCCGGCGTGACTCTCGCTATTTCACTTCCAGCACACTTTCTCTATGAAAAATGCAGAACTTTAACATTAGTTTCAAGTATTCTGTTTGGGATAGCTCAAACGCATCGATTTTCCATTTGCGTACTCACTTATACTATTCGAACAATGCGTGTTCGTACTTCCGTTTCCAAATATGGCCACAGAGCGAGTGTTACATTCAAAAATCTGTTATGTCATTACAACTTTTAAAAACTAAACTAATTCTTCATTTTTATTGTACGTAATAATGTTACTGATATTAAATGTGTACGCTTACTAACCTTTCAGCTTTATTTATCTATCATGCTATTAAATCTACTCGTTTCTTTGTATTTCTATATATTTGAGCGTCCAATTCGTGGTCGAAATTATACTTAATAATTTCACAAGATTTTTAAGTTTTTAAAAACAATCTCGAATTAACAATCGATTACCGCCTACATAATTTTTAAGGATAGCAACATTATCTTGCAAATAAAATATTGTTATATTAAAATATATCCAATTTAGTGACATAGTCTTAATAGAAATGCTGCTTATTTAAATTAGTAAAACATGAACCGGCGAACACATGTAAAAATTTATAAACAAATTTATTGTTCGTGTGTATATTAAATAATATATATGATCCACTCGCAATTCAAAACTATTTTCGTACGTTCCTTTTAAAGTCCTTTCGGATGATACTGAATGGTTCCCTTACCCTATAGTAGATAGACTTATTTTCGGGGAACAATTATAATTAATAGCACCTTAGTGTAGTTTCCTCATAGTTACCTTACAGTTGTACACTTATTGTTACTAAGCGCAAGTTAGTTACTTGTTACGGCTATTCCTAATTATTAAAACCATATTTTATCGTTTTCCTTCACGCTAGTTTATCAGAGCCCTGGTCCTTTGGATAGATTGAGACAAACTATCTTGTCAACAATCGATTTAATGATATTGCAATACTGAAGTTCAATTGAATTTCATTCTGAATTAATAAAAACCGATGTGATTATTCGTAATAAGGCACTAGGTTTGCGCTCTTTAGTGTCCTGCGTTGTTGTCGTTTTTCCTTATAGTATAATAATCTATAGTTTATCTTTAACACTGTTTTATCGTCACAAATCATCAACACTGCCTCTAGTTTACGTGCATTTATAGAGCCACAAACACGAAGAATTTACTTTAGGCGTTAACAGAAAATGCGATCGGTACAAGTATTTTGTGATCATACTGAGTCGATACTCTGCAACTGTCAATAGCGAATGTGATCCCGACTGCAATGTTGAAGTGGTACCGCGCGATCTGTGTGGCTCTCGCTATTGAAAGTAACAGAGTGCCGACACTGGGCTGTATGCGCACTGATAGGCGGTTAGCTGTCACCTATAAAACGCTTATGTATTTATGTACAATTATATAATGTATGATAATTCCACTTATACATAGTGAAAAGATTAGGGATGCATCGATACGCTTTTTTGCCGATACGATACCGATGCCGATACACTTATAGGAATATCGTCGATACCGATACCAACGCTTATTGAATTAAAATTAAATTAAGGTAAAATATATCAAGTTAAGTTGAAGTAATTTTTATTAAAAAAATATATATACAAAAAATAGTCACAAACTTTGAATAATTTTAAAGGTCAAACCTTTACTAAAATTAAGAATTAAGAGTAATAATTAAAATAAAATAAATAACTGTTAATAATTAAAATTAACAATGATAACATTGTTGTAATTCTGTATTTTATTAACTCGTTTGCAACAAACTAGATCATACAAAATGCGCGTTTACATTATTTTTTTAAAGCGTGAAATTTGAAAAGTATCGGTGAATCGGCAATGAAAATATCGCCGATGCCGATATATCGGCAAACCCAAAGTATCGCCGATATATCAGTATCGGATGCATCCCTAGAAAAGATAATATGAGAGTAAAATACATAAAATTGTCATAAGCCTATGTTTCAAGTTTTATGTAAATGGTAAAGTAATTATGATAGTTGAAACGGTCTTATTGCTTTGAACGTTAATTCATCAACGTATAACAAGTCTCAAGTATTTGACTGTTTTGTTATTGTCACGTAAGCTACTTAAATTGACACAACATTGTGAAGATATTTGAGTCTTTTGATGAAGTTTCACCCGAGATTTAGCGCAAACTATGGCTCTCGTGCGTCAAATCCAATTTTTGACATACGCGATTTATACTTAGCACAGTCACGACACCTTAATAAGACCGTTTCGGAATCAACACGGTTTGTATGACTACTACAAAATGAAAATATATTTAGGTCAAGTCTGGTATGTAAAGCCGTCGTAACTAGCATTGGCAGATTACTTAGGCCCATAGCTGCCGTCAGTGCGCAGTGGCCTTTCCTAGAAATTGTTATTTAGTATAAGAAAGCAAAGCGACACTTCGTCCTCGTGTTGGCGTGAGAATATTTTTGCATTGGAGCATAGGAATTGATTGTAATCATGATAATAGAAGCTAAAATGTATTTAATGTTTATCAGAAGCTGTGAAACGTACTTAATAATCACAGAGTATCTCAATAAAAATCATGTCACTTATGCAAATTACAATAAAGTTCAATTTTACGCGAAATGTATTGTTTACTTACGACCCCAACCACGCACGCGACGAGAACGTAACGCTTTAATGTTAACTTTGGTTAAAGAAGTAAGTATTAATATAGTAATATTTTATTATTGACGACTTCATCCTGATAGTCAGTTTACAGGCGAAATATCTTTTACCAAAATGAGTTTATTCATAAAATAATATTCAATTTTGAGGTATGCTATTATCCATTAGATACAAACAGTTCCAGTGAGAGTAATACTACAATCTGAAGCTGGTAAGAAGGATAAATTATGGTAAGACTGTTACTCAAACACTGTTACTAAACAAGTAAACAGTTGTATAATATTTTTCTTTCAGTGTTAGATTATTCAAATATTAAGTAGGGTTAAATAAAACAAGATCTAATTCCAAAATTTTATTATAAACCAAGAGATCAATTTCGAAAACACTTCTCAAAATAAATTTAGTGTAAAAATTCAGTATTGATTACAAAATAGTTATTACAGTTTACAAGTAGGAACACGTGAAATAATTCAAATATTAAAAAGCTAAATTTCGGCTTAGTAATGTACCAGTTTCCGTCCGCAGTTTCATAAGTCTTCTTATTCATACAACAATTATTAGTTAAATTATATTTTCTATTTTGCGTAAGTAAAAAGTGATAAAGACAAAACATCCATGGATTTAGACCTTATAGTATATTTAATAGCTTTAGGGCCTGTTTCACAATGTATGGATAAAGTACCAAATAGCTATGCAACACTTAAATTATTTGGAGATAAATTGTGCTATTTGACACTTCATCGAACTCACTTATGATGGACTTTATGTGACGAATAGTGCTATCTGACAGTCGTGAAACGCAACATTAGTGTTTATCCTACCAATAAGTAATAAATAGCTAATTTGGATCTTATGTAGAACTTATCCGTACATTGTGAAACAGACCCTAAGTATAATGCTTAAACTTGTCTAGATATGGAATTCAGAGTGGAAACTTAGCGCTAAATACTCCGTTCTTAACGTTACTTTTGACTCCTGATCCTACCTGAATCGTACCCTAAATCTTAGGCTTAGAAGCTTTAGCTTATTTTTATAGTAAACAAAGATTCTTATAAGAGAATTATATTGGACCGTAAAATTTTGACTGGAGTACAAATTTATAAAATATCACGATGGACAAGTTTTCTTAGTAATACAGTTTTATTTTTATATACAATGTTTAATACAACCCTTTTATAAATTTAGAAAGTGAAATCCTTAGGTATGGCACATACCTTGAAACAGATACAATAAAAGGCAAACGACAATTCAATTACCAAAGCGTGCATGATAAAACAATCATACTTCATAGATTTCCCATAAGTATCATAAATGGTGGGATGTTCAAGATAATTCTCAAACGAAATTCGACTTTGAAAATGAGCCTTTCAAACTTATTTATTCCGTGGTACATGTGAGATGATGTTCAGTCCAATAAGTTAGCATATACACAAATGACTATGCCTTAGATCTGATATTTTCCCGGAAATCGAACCTCGCATAAACCAGTATGTAACACTGTCAGACGGTAAACATAGCCTTGAAGCGCAACTAAAAGTAAGATTAAAAAATAACTAAAATTTCACGTAAATGCATGTCTTAAAAATACTTAAACACTAATTAGCTCTGGGGGGTTTCACAATTTCAATAGATTAATTTTGTTTACCTATAAACAAAAGTCAGAATTGTAGCATTGTAGAGTTAAAAGACCCTGAAAGTTTCAGGCTGAAACTTACGTTACATTTATGACAATTTGTATCGGCTCAATTATATTACTAAAGGTCCCATTCACAAAACTTACTCAGAATTGCATTTTTAATTAAATATCTGATTAAGTAGAAACAATGTTATAAGATTGATTATTTTATAATAAATCAAATTTACAATTACTATTCTAAGGATAGGAAAAATTATTCATTATCAGATACAATAATTAATACATAATTATTTGGTTATAATAGGTTCCTACCTTCAAATACTACTATTTAAATGCATGAGCTTCTTAAAATTAAAGTCATTTTACAGCGTTTGACTTAATTGGTTATATTAATACAAATTAATTAGTAATTACTACGAGCCGTAAGCCATTTCGTAGCAATTACGAATTTGCGTATATCGTAAGGTAGACATTAGGGCTTTAGTTGTTAAACTTAGCTAACTTCTCCTTACATTCCTGGATAGTCTTGTTAAGTCTTTCAACTGTGGCAGAGGTCTGTTTAGTTGCAAGAAGTCTCGTGCATGTATCAATACTAGTCGACCAACCACAAACATTATGAAGTATGCGCACTGCCCGCTCGCCACACACGTACAAATACTGACCTGATGAATCGAAGGATACGTAGTTTATTGAACCTGAAAAAACGAGTAAAAAACAATACAGCATAAATAAACCTCAATTATAATAAACTTGCTCTTAAGGAGGAAACTAAACGATAAATAAGTATTATTGAAAATTATAATTTATAACTGAGTGTAAAGCAATAATAACGTTTATGAATATTTTTGAATGGGGATTCCCGCCTTGTATTTTACTACAAGTTATTAAAAAGTTATTGTCAGCCGATGAATGTAGTTAAATATGTTATTGTCAAATGCCTAATGTAAAAAGAAAAGGGAACGAAATCGAAAACCTAAAAAAAGAATGATTAATTTTTTCTAAATATTTTACCCTTGGCTCCACATATTTTCTACTATCTTTTGCAAACGAATGCGCTGGCACCATAATGCTTACTTATTAGAATATATAAGAATGTAATTCTGATGGTTAAGAACGGGAATAATGTATATAGCTATCCTGAATCTTTTGTACATAGTTAACGTTGTATTGAGGATGAATGAGGCTATTCAGGCTAACGTTAACTACAAAGGAATAAACAAACCGAAACATATAGTGCACTGTAAAAAAATAGTTTTCATCTACTTTAAAAATGGCATCATATATCAGGTCGTATGAAATCTCTGCGTAAATTTATATTGTTCACGTCATTACTGAGTAGTAATATGTAATTCACGCGATACAAATTACATTAAACTATAGGATTTACTTATTAAATTCGTAGAATCGTATCGCGTGTTTGCGGCGACCTTTATATAGACGTCAGAGAATACGTAAGTCCCTCTTTTGTAGGAAATCAATAGAGTCGCGAACCGCTCTAAATAATTTATTGGGTATCTGATAACCTCGATTTGAAAATAGGTAAATTTTCCGTTTGTTGCAGGGCGTTCTATTTTTTACGTGATCAATTGCTTCCGATTCAAAGGCACGTAGCTTAGGCACTGCGCGTGCAAACAACTAAATTCATAAAAAAATAATTTTCATACGATCTAATAATACGTATTGCAATTACGTAGGTCATTTATAGTCATCAGTTTGTCTTCACATATCGTGCTTTCTGAATTCATATGAACAAGTAATTATAAATAAAAATTGATTTATTAATAGCTTCGCCATCAAGGCAATGCAAACACTTCAATTATAGATGCGAAAAGCATGCAAATATGAAGAATCCTCGCAACTTCTACGTAATTATCAAAAATCCGAATTCTGATCTATGTTCGACTTAAATGTGACACTTTTAAACAAAATTATTTTGTTTGTAATTTCAAGTTACTAAAATATTAAGGTTGCGATCATTTAAAATTGCAAACTTATCGTCGTTTAAGCATATCGAAGGTCAGGTTGACAAATTCGGGTCACGATCATGAACCGGGAACTCAATATTAAACAATACTATTATCTGACTTGGTTGGATTTAATGACTTATGAAACGCCCTAGAAAAGTGTTTCCCAACGTGGGGCCCAAACTCTCAGGGGGGGGCAATTTGATTTTTAAGGGGGCTTTTCAAAAATTTATAATTTTTTAAAATAATTATTTGTAATTTCAGATTTCATTAGATATTTTAAATCATATACTGTGTTTCGAAAACACTTTCCAAGTAATTTCCGAATTTTAGGAAGGCTAAGGTGGGTTCAAAATAGGTTGGGAAACACTGCTCTAGAAGGACTTTGTCAATTGTCACTGAAGTAGTACATAGAGTAGCACAACCTTCTTATAGTTTTTTTTTTGTAAAATATTGGTAATCGCTATAATTTTTGACAGCTCAAGCTAAAGCGCTGCTCAAGGTTTCTAGTCAATAATTTATTGTTACAATTATATAACAGTATCTATCTGATTTAACGTCTAGTTTGACGTTTCAGACTAAGGAGTACCTACCGATTATACACTCTTGTTAGTTTATTAGTGAAGCTTTATGGATTTTTTTTAGACAACAGGAGGCTCATCCCATCATTACCAGAGGGCTGAGTGCATTGCCGGCCTTTACAGTATTGGTACGCTCTTTTCTTGAAGGACCCTAAGTCGAATTGGTTCGGATTACAACGGTGGGCAGCTGATTTCACATAGTGGTGGAGCGCGGCAATAACTGCCTTAAAAACGCTCGGTTGTAGAACGACGAACATCGTGGTGACACGAGCGACAGGCTGACCATCCAATGTTGAAGATGTCTATGGGCGGAACTTAGTTCTAAGCGACACATCCATCATATTTACACCCTAGGAAAGTTGCTTTCTCCATCCTCAAAACTAATCATAATATTGTTTTGCTTGTTAAGACAAGGAGAAATTACAAATACTTACTTGAGTAGATATTCTCGACGGTCCCAAACAATTTGCCAGTGTATGTATCGTAGAAGGAAACGTTGGTGTCGCAGGCCAAAGCTAGTACTTCGGCGTTGGGTGAGAGAGCGATGCGTGGCGGATTAACTCCTGGTGTATAGGTTCCCGTTTCTAACACGTGCGGTGACTCGCCGAGTGTGTACTTGACTGAAATGTTTTATAAATATTACTTCTAAAAGTACGAGAACAACATATTACAAAATTAACACAAGATAAGCAAACCAGCCCTAGAACCAAACATTAAATGTAAATAAAAGATTAAACCTGATTAAGAGCAGTTACAAGATCACTAATAGTGTTATCAAATATATGAATATAATTAGCATTTATAATTAATATTTATTCTTTACAAATATTTCAGAACGCCATTTTTTAACTCCAATACCAAAAGCTATCATATGTGCTAACACAATGAAGCGAATACATATACACATGGTATAAAAAAAGCTATGCTTATTTTTGCTAACAACAGAGATACTATATAATTACATATTTGTCAGAGGTGTATATCAATTTACTACTCCCAATAGCGATTCCGATATTCAGTGTTTACGAGTTGATCCAACGAGAATGTAAGTGCGTACTCCTATTTCACCATGCCTCCTGCTGATAGAGGACAAATATTTATTATTATTAATTACTTAACATGTCATATGGAACATGGTGTAATGGTTGCTCCTAGCGTCCTTACAAACATTTTGTAAAACAAAAAAGAGTGGCGGAGAGTTTATTGTTAGTTCTCGTCCGTTCTACGCCCTTGATTTGAGAACTGGCAGTAAATGTAAAATTAGAAGCATTTTAGCATTTAATATGTATTTTTTTGACGTTCATAAGTGTAGTGTAGTGTTAGCTAAATTAATAAATGATTTTAAATTTGAATTGATGAACCCAAGGCTGCGACATTAGCGCTACTGATATTCTGAGAACTTATTACTACTGGTACAGGACCGATATTACTACTGGTAGTTACAGCTTATTCAAAATATTAATCCGTGCTATAAGCTCTAATTTGTTAACGACACTGGAAGCATTCAATAGCTACGTAGTTGGTCCCAAAGTTCTGTCACTGTCACATTATTTTTAAATTTCGAACATGATTTTATAAAATAAATATAATATTATATTTTTGAATGTTTGACTATTATTTTAAAACAAAAAACAATCACTTTCCGTAATTTTTCACGATGGAGTGGACATTGAAAGAAAACCGAATTGGTGTTAATGCGTTGCACCGCTGTGGGCACTCGCCGAGTACCATTTTCAAGGGGCTCAAAAATTTGAATATAACGCTTAGGTTTGTGTACCGTACTATTGACAGGTACAATGAAGTCTCCAGTGTTGAGGACAATAAAATAACTGGCTGGCCGCGCTCCGCAAGAACACCAGCAGTAATCAAAGCTATCATGGCGCGGACAGCAAGAAATCCTGTCCGGAAACAGAATTTGTTGGCTTTGCAGATGGGTGTCAATAGGAAAATAGTAAAAAAAGGTTTTAAATGAAGATCTTGGTCTACGAGCATACAAAAAAAGAGTGGGCACTTACTTAATGCTCGTCTAAAAGCAATAAGGCTTAAGAGATCGCGGGTGTTGTTAAAGCGGTACGCGAAAATCCGACACCGTGATATCTTCTTTACGGATGAAAAATATTTCGATATTGAAGAGAAGTACAATAAACAGAATGATAGAGTGTACGCCAGAAGTTCTAAAGAAGCTGGAAATAAAGTTCCAAGGGTGCAACATGGACATCATCCATCATCAGTAATGGTCTGGTTGGGAGTGTCCTATTACGAGCCAACAGAAGTTCATTTTTGCATAAAGGGGGTCAAAACCAGTGCAAAAGTGTACCAAGATACGGTTTTGCATCGGCTTGTCAAAGAACTGCCCAGCACGCTATTGCGGGACATCACTTCGTGTTCCAGCAGGACTCTGCGCCTTCCCACACAGCCAAGACCACTCAAGCCTGGTTTGAGCGTCAAAACATCGACTTAATTAGACATGAGGATTGGCCTTCCTCCAGTCCGGACCTTAATCCTTTGGACTATAAAATTTCGCAGGTCTTAGAGAGGAAGGTCTGTGCATACCACATAAAAATTTGGAGAGTCTGAAGTCATCTTTAAATAAAGCAGTCACTGAAATCGACACGAATATGGTGCGTGCTGCGATAGACGACTGCCCGCGGCGCTTAAGGGCCAATATTAAAAATAAGGGAGGTCATTTCGAATAATTTTATGCTATTTCTATTCCTTAATTAATGTACTATAAATTGGTATATCACTCATTAAAAACTGATAAGTAGTTTTGTTTTTATCATTATTTCCATTTATGACAGAACTTTGGGACCGACTACGTAATCTAGCTTAGAGTAAGTTTAATCAGTATACCTTCAAATTATTACGCAAACTATCAACACATAGGTATATTTAATAAAAGTAGAATATTCCTAAAAATTACTTTAAAAACTGAACTTATAATGAGCAATGCATATCATAATTTGAACTTTTCCAAGTAAAAAAAAAACTTTTTCTTTAATGTCTTGTATATAATATTATTATATGTTTCAATGCGTATTCCGTTTTTATTTATTGTGTATTTATATAAATTATCGGAATACTAGAAATCAAATAAATAAAAGCTGCAGAATTCAACATAATACAATATTACTTTGAATTATAGTGATGACTTTATAGAGACGTGAGTTTAATAATTTGAAATTATCAAATTTCCTAGTAACAATTTATTTGGCCGATCTTAGTGATTGAGTGGGCTTCGGGCCTAGGCGTTTTCATACATGAAACTTAAAAGGTTTTGATTCCCGGTCGAAGTTTACAGGTAATTAGAATTAACGAAACGTCTACCCTTCTGACATCTCAAATAAGTCGGAACGTCAGTAAGAAACGTGAACTTTTTGAATTTGAGTTTGATAACGTTCTTCATATTCGAGATTAGGTACTTTTACATAAATTAAAAATTAATGGACAAATTTGACACAAATAGCTCGGATTTTCTTATCTACCACTTAAATAATTATTTCGTGAATAATTTCCTTAAATTATGTAAATAATCAATTTTGACCTACTTGAAAGAATTAACAAACTGGAATTAAAGGAACGTTATTTTGTATTAAAAAAGGAATCTACAAATACGGCAATTATTGATTATAAGCCCACACAACAATATAACATAAATAAACTCTAAAACATATGAGACTATTAGAGAGTTGTTTGCATATTCCATCCATATCATATTTTTAAATGATACAGAACACTCACAAAAGGATCGCAAGTGAGTTGCGAGACGAATCTATTCGGAAATACTTCAGCTACACTTACGGTTACACTTAGTGATGAGGAGCAAAAAGTGCCTTTAAAAATGCTCAGTTGTAGAACAACGGATTTGCGGTGATAACAGTGGATTTTCGCATTCTGTCTCGACGTCCGATGATGAAACTTAGCTGTAGGTAATCCGAACAACTCCTCTGAGCATTCCATGGTAAATTCATAGGGGCTTCGTCAGCTTTTAATACCGTGTGGGACCGAAATTATAAAACGCGATGGCGGTGTTTGAACTCTCTGTCCGTCCATAAAACAGTCCAGACATGCATTTGTTACATTGGACTACGGGGGCTTTAGAACTGTCTCCGTACTACAGCACCTATAGTTAACATACAACAATAATACTATGCACAAAGTGTTGAGCCGGATTAATGTATTTTCCTGGGAATTTTCAGAATCTCCGGGCACAGGTGTATAAAGATAGGTAAATGAGTAGAGAACTGAGACCAGCTTCTTGTCAAGTGTCTTACTGCGTAGAAAGGGACCACAAATGCCTAAAAATCCCCCTTAAAATGTCAGGTTAATAAAGACGATTGCAGTGTTCGGATCCGCTTCATTTACATAAAATAAACAAAACAAGGATACGCAACAAGGATGTGAGCATTCTACGCATTTTATAGAGCAAGCCGTGCTTTACGTAAACCAAGTACATACTAGCAAACAATTTGGTTCTATAATAAACCAGTAATGAATACTGGTTTTTATAAAAAAAAATGTCTTTAAAAGAAAAATCTTGTACTTCTAGCAATTTCGATACACTGGATTTTTTAACCGCACCCGTTTATTCAAACGATTAAAAAAAAGGGAAAAACTAGCATTATACAAAATTTACGATTGCTTCTTATTTTTTTTTAATTATCTAACGTATATTGTAAACCTTTTTGTTTGAAAATATAAACCATTATTTCTTGCTAAGTTATTTTCCTGCCTTCGTGAATAGGCTGTTTTAATCATGAGTCATTTGTTTTAAACATACGGATTTGAAACGTGGGAAAAAATCTTATTACGAATGAACAGAAATTTTGGAAAGTAATACTAATTGTACATTATACAGTCCTCGTAACGATAATGTGTACTTCGCTTTATTATCTTCGTGGGAAAATGTAACACGATGTAAATTTAAAACTAAATTGGAAAGTGAATTATAAACATTAAAAATTACTTCATTAAAATATAATTATCCCCGAGACCATCGACAACGACAAAAATAAAAAAGTATAACTTTTATTCTTATTAAAAGTATTTTTGTTATATTTAAATAATTCTTGTAAACAATACAAGTGTGATAGCACACAAACTAACACCAGCTAAATAGGTTATGATGTGATTTTATAAGCTCGGAATAAACAAAAACGACGTTACCTTATGTAAGTAAGAATACCCTATAAACGTGTTTTAATCAAATGCATGGGACAATTCCGCGGTTTTCCTCGTCAATTCCATTTCATATGAAGCAAATTGTAAAATACCTCTTATCCTTCGAAGGACATTATGACGTCACTAAGCTTGTTTGGAATACATTTGTATAACATCAAGAGCAGTGAGACTCTCGTCCCTGGCCTACCACAGGTTCGAACCCCGGCAGTGTATGAGCTTTATATGTCCGTATTTAACACTTGCTTGTACGGTGAGGACAAACGTCGTGAAGAAACCGGCATGTCTTAGACCCAAAAAGTCTATGACGTGTACACAGAGGGCTATTCGCCTATTAGAAAAAACATATGATCACGGAACAGCTATAGAAATATGAGCGCCATTGTTATTTTTTATTGTAAAGCATTTTCAATATAAGATTTTGTGTTGATTTACAAATAGTATCTTTAAAGGAATAGTACATTATATTAATCTTATAACATCGATTTTAAACAGTTTATTTTATGTTTTTATATATGAAACCTTTAAAAAGCCTTATTTTATAATTCAGTTAATCCCCTGTTTCCGCGATGACAAAACTCAACACAAAATCTTCCTCAAGTATTCGCAACGTAAAGTACCTAGAACTTATAAGTATGTGTAAGTACTTCGATGTGATGTCAGCTCGTCATTGCACGAACATAAAGATTTTGCATACTTGTCATACATCGCTCGGGTACGATGTATTATTCCAAATACGACCACGGAAAAATTTAACGCATATTGTTATTATTCGACAGTTCGAAACATATAATCGTGGACTATGAATGTAAGTTAAATGCTTTCTATGAAAACTTTTTATTCAGGCTATACATTTCCCAATTCAAAGAAGTGTCTCTTAAAAATATCTTCTAACACCGTAACCATAACAGACAGTATTGTACTGTCCGTTTGATAATAACAGTTGAATTACAGTGCCAGTAATAATGCTAATTCTAGTCAGGCATCTAAACCAATACTCCCAACAATGTTAACCTAATGCTAGTCAAGGATGTATGTTTATTAAATTATTCATTCTTGTATTGCTAATTGTGTTATAGCTTATATATATATGCTATTTTAAAATCGTAGTCAATGAATACCGGATTTACCGACTTAGTTCAGGCTTGACCAACAAGTGTTGTAGAAGGTTGCTTGTTACTTGCCTATAAAAAACAGATGCAGAAATATAACGAATTTTGTCTAATAATAATAATCCAGAGGCTTTTAGGTTTATAACTTAGATTTACGTATCTGTTTCACTATCATTTTGTTTTTCTTGTGATCAGCCTACTAATATACGACGTCAACTTTTTGGGTATGCAGTTTTAGATGCGCATATAGCCAGTCCATTGGCGCACAGCCAGGAAACGAATCTACGACCTCAGGGATGAAGCCACTAGGACAACACAGCTTTGAATTCGATTTTGGTCTATGACATTAACTTGCTTGATTTGATTATCAAATAACCATCATCTTCCCAGTGTTCTGGACTACGTCTTCATTGATGATAGCTTAGCTCCCAATATCTGCCCCAGGCGTTCGTACTCAGGAATGTAACATTATGATTATCTATTTATGTCATTATTTTTACAAAAAAGATAAGTAATTACGCTAAACGTGGAGAGAATTATGTAAAGCCTCAGAGGATAAATATTGCGTGCATATATGAAATGGTATGAAAAACAAATAATACTAGTTTTCGACTGCCTAGATTTCTTGTATTTGGCAAGATCTTTTACAATATCTTCAACAATAATTGTCAAGCCAGCTTCCTCAGAAATGTTTAGGCGTGTTATGTGGAACTGGTACAAAGTACAGTCATTAGGTTTTGAGTTTATGGAGTTCATATTGACAAAGGGACTTCTTTGAATACAACAAAATATTGCACAATTTCACTTGAATTTACTTTTATTGCATGTACATTGAATAAACATTTAAAAAAGCTAAAAGGCTATTTAACTGCCCTATGATTCCTTTAATCGTAAGTAATCTATTTCATATTAAGTGCCACCGTTATTAACATATTAATTCGACCCATTAGAAGACTGGGTAGGGGAAGCAATATTAAGTAAGCAACTAAGGAAAGACTGAAATATTAACTTAATAACAATGACGCAATATACGCATAAGTTTACATCAAAAACATTAACCTGTTTGAGATTACACTTAAAAATTTCTGTTTACATCAAATAAGAGGAAAATTGTGAAATAGTATTAAGTGTAATGAATTGAGAAATTGATTTTTATCTACAAAAAGTAATTAGTATGATAAAACAGAACATTTCTGTCCTTTAGACGCAAAAATGTTCAAGTTCCTAGTTTTTACAGAGCACCTTGCTAAGTAAAGTGCCGCGACCTATACTAACATTATAGCGAATAAACGATGTGTTTATTTTAATATTTAAAAATAGGAAACAATTCCTTACAAATTTACTAGTTAATGAGCACAATTTTGTCATGTTATGAAATTTCCATTTCAGTAAAAATGTCCGAAGTCCTGGTGGACAGGAAATTATAAGTAGATTATGTTTCACACTATTGTAACTTATTTTTTTAAAACTATACATACATAGTTTAAATAAATAAATAAAAGAAGGTTAAAATTACGCCATGTACTATTTATATATTTTTTTCTTTTAATTCTAAAACGAATCTATGATTAGTCTATGGTATGTTTATATCATTACCATAATATGCTTTGATGGAATTTCTTAGAAGGGAAATTTTATTCGTATAAATCATGACTCATATAATCATGAAGCATTATTTAAATTTGACCATAGCTACTGTTTGCATAATAACAACATCATCACCAACCTAAAATAAATGAATACTATTCGGCCTTTAATTGAACATTCAGAAAATATTTAAAAATATAATTATAAGCCATGGTTTCAAATCTTAGTACATATGCTTATTTCTTGTATGTAAGACAAACTTTTGCGACAAATTCCATTTAATAGTATTTGCTAATTAAGTAGGAATTTGTAAATGTATTTAATTAAAGGGCTATTTATATATAAAATAATTAGCCAATTCGTAAAATATAAATGACGTTGATAGCCTATATTGTGTGTCCTAAAATTTTATCATTGAAAAATCTTGGACAGTATTTTTTTGTAAATATTGCAAAAACGAACTACGCGGCAACAGATGGATACTATGGCAAAATTTCAACAGTTTCTAACATAACATCAAATAGTTCTGTTTCATGTGACAGTCGCTGATCACAGTTGCTGAAAATAATTCGTCGAGGCAAATTCGTGTTTATACCCGTTAAAGAACTTTTAGATCAGTTATTGTCGAAAAAATTTGTGTTATCATAAATGGTCTGAGGTGAAAATAGCTTCTACCCACTGCCACCCGATTAAGAATTAGTCTCTCAAAAGAAGGCCTTCGCACTACCGTAACCTTGAGACTACCAGGATCGCATTCTACTAAAACTTCGATAGTCTAGCCTAGTTTGTATTGGTGTAGTTTTCTCAATATCAGTAGCGCTATTGTAAACTATATAGCTTTTACTCCCTTTTATAATGTTGTTTAGGCCACTCATAGATAACTATCGGCCAGATCTAATACATAAGATAACCCATTTGATTAGAAAAGGTTATCGTTATAAACGTTATCATTATTTGTGTATACTAGATAAATAGACTTTCTTCATAATATTTTATGTAAAAAGGTTTTATGTAATGTATGGAGATTAAGCCACTGGACCTTAAACTTGTTTAGGCTTCAATTATATTAAAAGGTTTACACGAGTCAGCTGACTGATATTCATAGTATTATATTTTATTAATTGATAAATGATTCATCGTCTCGATATCCAACTTTGTTTAGCAATGCATCATTTTTATCGCAATCTGTGATTTGCATAGGAATATAATATAACACATAAACACTAGTCTATTAGTTAATTTGTGTAACAGTGAAGCGTGTAAATTAATTAATTTGCTATTGAAGTTCTACAGAAATTTCTTTACACGTACCTCTAACGTCTCATGTCTCATCCCACCCTTAAAAATCACTGCATAGTATAAAAGTTAAAACAAAGTCACTTTCTCTGTCCCTATATCCCTATGTATACTTAATCTTTAAAACTACGCAATGGATTTTGATGCGGTTTTTTTTTCATAGATAGAGTGATAGAAGAATAAGGTTTTTATGTATAATAACATCCATTAAAAAGTGGAGAAATACTGTTATTTTTGAGGCTTCTAATGTGATGTCGTAAATAATTATATTTTTTCCGCTTACATTTCAAACGCAGGCTGAACCCTAAGAGATTTAACAAAATATCCAAATTTAACGCGTGCGGGCCACGGGCAATAATGAATAAATCAAAACTACTGGATCGATTTTAATCATTTTTTCAGTGAGTGACATAGGCTATATATTTTATACCCGTGCGAAGCCGGAGCGGGCCGCTATGTTTTTATATACAACGTTCACAGTTTTTCTGTAGTGTATTTAGTATCAGCATTGCACCCGTGCGAAGCCGGGGCGGGTCGCTAGTAATATATAAAAAAGCCTTAAATGCTGTTTAACTTACATGCTAAAAATAAAGAAATATAATAGTTAGTCCCTATCTAAATATAATATCTATCGGCAAACGGTTATTGATTTTGTACAGCTTGTCCTTGGACAAACGCCTCCTCAATCTTTTACCAATCGTAGCGTTCTGTAGCGTTTCGAATGGACATTTGAAGCGCTACCATTTATATAGCGTCTTCGCATTTTCTTATTTGCCTCCCTTTCGTTTCCCACTACGTGTCTTCGTAGCACTCCATTACGTTACGATTCTGTTCCATTTTTCTCTTTTACTCTCACAACATTACCCCTCCATCTCCACTTTAGTTAGATTGTGTGAGTAAGATATGTATAATAAATTATGTTTTAATTTTAATATCGCTTCATTTTATCTTTCCATTTCAATCCTAATGTAGTTCTATCCATACTGTTTTGACACATTTTTATTATATTTCCCAGTTGTTCTATCAATGCCAACATCCTCATCATCCCATGCTTATTAGTTTTTAAAAGGCTCCCTCTATCTCTTATCTTCATCACCGGTTAAGGTGTGAAAGGTGTCCATAATATCTCCTTTTATAATAATACGATGACACGGCCCGCAAATTTAATTTAGTTGCCATATAAGTTTTTACGGCCACGGCGAAAACAAATTGAATACATTTTTATTAATAGAACAACCAAGTAAGGAACACCTACGTTTGTATTACAATATCTAAATTTGCATGACAAATACAAATATCTTTAACAGAATTTACTGAACTATGCAGAACTGCGCAATACTCACTGTTAGTATGAAATAGCTTCCACGTGCCATCTTTAGATATAGTTGCAATATGTGACGTATCAGGTGTGAATGCCACATCGTAGATTCCGGAATTGTGTCCCGTCAGCTCAAAAGCCTTAACCACCTGAAGACCAGTTTTAACTGATTATAGTTAATACAAAAAAAAACATTTTATGTTACTTAAATGGCTTAAAATAATAAAATTATCATCATCGTGTTCAAGGCTCACTAGATAATTTGCTTGCTAACATGCTTGAGAGTTCTACTCTTATCAAATTTGCCTAAAGACGGTATTTAATATAAAAGTATACTGTCACCAAAAAAATTTCTACATTTATTGAACTAATTTTATAGAGAAACAGTTACATCTAAACCTCGGCCACGATTGTGTAGCTGAGAATTGAAGACTTCCAGCAGGCTTCCCTTGTAACTTTAATTCAATAATTTTGAGATTCAATGATTTTTATACTGATTTCTTAATTCTAAGGGCGAAGAAGAGATTCAGAAGCGAGACGTATGATAAAATTAAATACGTTAATTGAAATTCAATGCTAAGATATTGAATGGATAACATTGAAATTATGACGTAATAACGACGAAGTCAAAACTATTGGAGTCAGCAATTTCCTTTCCGAGTCTGTTGTTGTGACAATTCCAGATAATAATTGAGTTGATCGTTAATTTAATATCAATATAAAGAGTGGTAGCTTAGCTATCTGAGCCTAATGAAGATATCACGATTTAAACTATGAAACCCGCATAAAAAACCTCACCTGTTTAAAATCTCCATTCCTAGTGAAGCAGACTTCCATGACTTTTACATCCGGTGAAAAACCTGTGGCCACCACGAAACGACCACAAGGGGAGATCTTAGCTGAATGTGTGTTCATCAAGTAAGTGTCCAGCCGTTCCAGGATCTGGCCTTTGAGGTCGTAGATGATCATATCAGTCTTCGCAGAGCAGGACATCATGAACTTTCCGTTACTGGATATACCGAAACCGACCACGTCTTCCTCGTGTACCTGCGGGCAATGAAGGTTAAGCTTAATAATAATACACTCGGCGTCAAAAAAATAGCACCTTTTCTAAAATTTGTGTCAAGCGATTATAACTCCGAAGATCCTTCCTGTACCCTATCATTATTAGTATCATTTGAAAGCTAATGAAATCCCTTATTTGAAAACGGTAGGAAATTGGTAACCGCCCCCATAAAAAAAGAAAATTCTGGGAAAATGTTAATAAATGTGTATTCTGATCAAAATTACAAAGAAAATGAATAATACAAAAATTAAAAATAAACAATAACAATAATTATAAATAAGTCTTAAAACCTAGTGTTGCCTCCTCTAGCCCTCCGACCAGCTTCCAAGCGGTCAGTCATAGACCTGATGAGCGTCACGACGTGTTCCTGGAGAATATTGTCCCACCCCTCGATGACGGCATCTCGAAACTCATCGAGAGTGGCAGGAGCTGGATTACGGGCCCAAACTCGCCGTTTCAGCTCGTCCCAGAGGTGCTAGATAGGATTGAGGTCTGGGCTTCTTGCTGGCCAGTCCATAACCTTGATGCCAACTCGACGTAGGTAGTCCTTGACAATCAAGGCTGTGTGGCACCGGGCGTAGTCGTGCATGAACTCGAAGTTGGCGCCGACAAAACCTGCACATGGGACCACATGCTCCTCCAAAATCTCGGTGATATACCGGTGGGCAGTCAGAGACCCCTGGCCGCGACCATCTCCAGCTCTGGAGCCGCACACGAGGTCTGTTTTGCCGTCGATAGAAATGCCGCCCTAGAACATGCAGGATCCTCCTCCATACCCGACGGTTTCTACGGTGCAGGCTGGTGTGAAACGCTCCCCTGGTCGCCTGTAGACTCTCTTACCCATGTCTATGGTATACAGGCACACTCGGGTTTCGTCGGAGAACAGGACATTCCTCCACTGGTCGAATGTCCACGGCACGTGCGTTTCGTAAAATCGCTTCCTGTTCGTCCGGTGGATGGCAGTCAATTGGGGGCCTGTAGCAGCTCTCCGGGGCATCAAATTCTTTTCTCACAGCCTTCTTCTGATAGTGGAGACGCTGTCTGCTGTCCTTCGAGTAGCTCGAAGCCACTGCTGCAGCTCCACAGCCTTGGAGAAGCGGTTCCGCAAAGACGTCGACACAATGTAGCGAACATCTCTGACGGTAGTGCAGCGACGTCTCCCGGATCCATGTCTCCTCCAGTCCTCCAGATGTAACCTCCAGTCTCTTGAAACCATTGGTATACCCGTTGCACTCGAAATCGGCTGATTTTCAGTTGCCGAGCAACTTCAACCTGCCGTAGTCCGGTTTGAGGTAGGGCCACCACTTGAGCTGCTTCTTCTGCCATGGTATCCATTTTCACTGGGGTTTTTACTGTCGAAGCTCTTCAGGTGTGACCTCTGTGACGTCTAGATAGCGAATAACCCATAATTGACTTTTACCCCCCTCGTTTTATACGCGTCCAGGGTGGTACAATTAGTGAGCCTCCAAATGCGTACATCGCCACTTTTTAATCAAAGTGCTGGCGATTTGTGGTTTTTGATTTTCCGTAAACAAATGATTATTTTTTTGAAAGCTTATTAATTGAGCTTTTAAATGATACTAATATTGATAGGGTACAAGAAGGATCTTAGAAGTTATAATCGCTTGACACGAATTTTAAGAAAGGTGCGTTTTTTTTGACGCCGAGTGTATTATTCGTCTTGGCCTAAGACGGCATTGTTTTATTTTTAAATTTTCTTTTACACATCTAATATATAAAATTCTCGTGTCACAATGTTCGTTCCCATATTCCTTGGAATTTTTTTATACATATTCAGTAAGTCTGAGAATCGGCTACTATCTATCTTTTAAACCCCTAAATGTTAAGGGTGGTCCACCACAAATTTTTTATTTTTTAGATAAAAATTTTGTTTTTATTTTTTTATGATACAGCATATACAACCCTATACAATATATATATATCCCTTAATTTTCACCCCTTTGCGATCAACCCCTATTTTTTATTTGTTAATTAAAATCTTATGACTTGAACTCTGAGGTTTATTTATATAGAGAAAAATTCACAGAAAAACCCTAAAAAGTTTTCATTCCAGAAAACCAAACAGTCTCTGGGGTCGCATAGCAAAATGTTCCATATTACATACATAGGTACTAAAAAGGTAGCCTTAGTAAAATCACATTAAGGAGAAATGAAGTTGGCGGGGACAGCTAGTAATATATATGTATAATAGGTGATGTCTATGTCTGAGATATTCTTTTTTCTAAGACATTCCGGTTTTTTTATGATCTTTACCGTGCAAGTGTTAATTGCATAAAAAGAAAAATGCATTCATGCACAGCCGGATTTGAGTACCCGACCACAGGGTTGTAAGTCGCGTAAAGTACAACACTGCTATAATGTAGCAGTATTGTCCTGGTCCTGGTTGAATTATAGATTTTTAATCTAAAATTAATATTATAGGTGATGTTGAATAGTTGATAACTTAAACATTGCCTTGTGCGACAACTGCAGGGCTTGTGCGGCTGTCATCATAAACGCAATATTTAGACAAAATAGTATATCGCTTAAGTTCCTCAACTACTATCAAATATTTGGTTATGTAGTGTGCATATCATGGCGTCTATGGAAATATCTTATGGCGTCTTTTCTTCGAACATTTTATTTGACAAATATATGAATAGGTAACGTATAATTGATATATTCATATGTTTAATAATAATATATGAATTAATCTTCAAAAAAATAATAACATTCAAATATCATATTATCTCCTAAGGTCGTAAGCGTCTTTGTTTACAAACAAATAATTAATTGATGTAAAGAATTTATGATTTAAATACAAAAAAATACTATATTCTGGTATTATTTATTGAAAAAACGTATTGATGGAGCTGAGTATACAAAGTTTTTCAATTAAACTGATCGTCTTCAGTGATATGATGTTTTTAACTATTCCCCCTCGATAAGCTTTCGGTCTAAAATACACAGACGGTTTATCTTCCATCATTTTATTTCTCGTTATCTTATTCATAATTTCATACACGTTCAATCCAACCCTTAATAAATTACTACAAAATACCTGATGTATTTATATTGCGTGTAAAATACATGCCATACATGACCAATATAATGTACGGTACGTCTTTCCGTTTCACCAATCACAGACAATCGTCTATAGACAATCGACTGCTCTTTCTTATCTCTGCTCGTTTCGTTTTACAATCTCAGCGCCGGTGGGTACACATTTTAGCTGTAGTCTCTAAGGTTCTATGATCATCCAATTATCTTCTTCATGACACTGGACGAATAATTCATCATGCGTTTATCTATCCAGATAAGTTTCGTATTTACATATGATGTAAATTGCGTGTCACAATAGTGCGATATGACGTAGTTTCGATATTAGCCTTTTAGGGTTAACGCACTTTGACACAAACAACGTGTAGTGTAAGGACCGAATAAGTGATTCTGTCTGCATTTCAGATTAAAGGTAGCAGGTAGACTATATGTTTTTTTTTGTTAAAAAAAAGTAAAAAATATTTAAAATTTAAAATGAAGGTTTATACAACAAATTTTGGAGATTTCTTCAATGAAGACAACTTTATATTCTTTCACAAAGCACGAAACCCAATACGGTAGTATGACTCATTCATGAACGAATGCCTAGTTCCGCACCATATGTTACAAGATTAGTATAATGAAGCTTGCTGTGCTATTCGTTATGAAAAAAATGTTTTTTAAATAAAAACTTAATATAAAACTTGAGTATAAGGTAATTTATGGGTTGTCCTGTTAAATGTTGTATCTAGTAAATTCCGGTATTAAAAACAGGAATGAAGCAATAGCCATAGCTCACGAACTACAATTTAATAACTCTCGCTTAACGTCGATAACCAAGGCAAGAAAAATAAAAATAGGAAATCTATTTCCACTTATCATTAATCGTTTAATAAAAACTTAGGTTTACGTCGGCTCGAGGAAACGTCGAACCTTCCTGCTAAAAATAATTTTCGAGGCTGCGCGTGCGACGATCGCACAATGAACAGCCGAGCCATTGTTCAGAGGAAGGTCGCGATAACAACTACAATGCAAATTCTGGCTGGCGACTGGAGTTTACTTCCCAAAATTGAGAAGCCGATGGCCGTATGAGCCACCTTTTTAATAGGTCCGAGAAATTTATTTTTTGGTCCGAGAAATTGGATTTGTTTTTATAACAATTTTAGTTTATAGCTATATTTCTATCATAAATTTGCCTAGTATAACGCGTCTACCTGTGTTCGTTTTTTTTTTGACATTTCACACCAATTGACCTAGTCCCATGCTAAGCTGGTGAAGCTTGTGTTATGGGTACTAGGCAACGAATATACATACATATTATAGATAGATAGACATGTAAATACATATTTAAACACCCAAGACCTAAGCACAACACCAAATGCTCATCACATCGATGTTTGTCTCAGCCGGGGATCGAACCCGGGACCCATGGATTCGCAGTCAGGGGTACTAACCACTAGACCAATGAGCCGTTTGACGAAGTTCAGCACCAGAACCATACGAAATCAAAACAGTATTTAAATGACCAAAAGTCATAAAATATCAGAACTACGAAATTTGAATAATTAACCAACTACTGGACAAATTACTTTGCAAATGTGAAAATATATATCTCATATAGGGTGACTATTAACTCTAAAAATTGTTACAGTACTGTTCTGAAACAAATGCCATTGCTTCTGATTTGGGAAAGGGTTTTATATACCTACGTATTACTAATATATCAGCACAAAAACGTTACATTGAACGTCAGAACTAGGAAACGTTTATTTGGCTCACTGAAGGAAATTTCTTTGTCTCTATGTGAGAACGCTGATAACATAATGTGCAATCATACACCTGTGTAACACTTTTTAAAAATAGATACTATATTGTTTTTAGCCGCTTACATGGTAATCTTATCCAAATGCTAATCGTTATTACTACGAGTCGTAGACTTATAAATGTGTTTAACTGTTCTATTTTAGAGAAATATCTACTTTGATACTATTTATACACTATATTTTTATTTTATTAATACTGTATTGCATATATAAGAATTAAAAAAAAACAACGTTAATATACTTAAAACGTTGCACCATGCAACGGCCGGCCGCTACTAAGCGATATTACTTATTTAATTTTTTTCAAATGAATGAATTTCCCTTTTTTCCTTTAGAATCTCTATTATAGGCACAATAAAAATAAATGTGAATTATTATGTCCATATTTGTTTCGCTGACGGTACATCTTTAGCATACATTGAGTTTAAACAATAGGGAATACGTTTCGAAGAAGGACAAATTAATAAATAAAGGTCCTTTAAACGCATTTAAGGGTCTAATTTCGTCGATTATTAAATATAGTTCTTAACGGTCTTATTCTCAATAGTCATATTTCTATAACTATTCTGTCATCAATAATAAAATTACAAACCGGTAACGAGGTAATTTCTGGATCTACTGCATTGTTTTTTCATAGAGCACGATGTTTGTCAGTGTCATATTATTATATTAACATTTTAAAATTTTCTAAATTTTTTGGATAAGATATTATGTGATTGAAAGAAAAAGTTTTAAATATTCATTATCTACAAAAGTCAGAGACAGCATAGTTTAACATTGATATCATATAAAAACAAGTCGCGATAACCTCAAAAACTACTGCACGACAAATCATCAATATCTAGAATCATGAGGAAGGGTGTATAATTTTTCAAGATTAATGGGCCACGGCTGCCTCTGCGCAGCCTGGGTGGGTCGCTAGTATTTGTATTTCAGGATTACATAGTGAATAATGCTAGTACTTTACGACAGGTTCTAATCACAAAATAAGGATATTAGATTCTAATTAAATACATAGAAATTACTCTATGCCAAGCTATCAAGATGACACAGTTTTTAAAATGAAGTAGACAATAGATTTAATTATTCAAATACTTCGATTTTTAAACAAAGAACTCGGTAGCAAGTAGTAAACGTCATCTAGGTCACATTCGTCATAATATGTATTATTTCTTGATAAAGCCTAGTCTGAAACGAAGGAACTGCCGTGAAAATCTATAATTTTAATGACGGTATTAATGTTTTAGCAGCAATGTTGACCTAGTAGCTTCAGCGTTCGACTCTCATCCCTAAGGGCGTAAGTTCGATCCCCGGCTGTGCACCAATAGACTTTCATTGTATGTGTTTAACATTCGCTCGAACGGTAAAGAAAAACATCGTGAGAAAACCGCCTTGCCTTAGACCCAAAAAGTCGACGGTGTGTGTCAGGCACAGGATGATCACCTACTTGCCTATTGGATTGACAAATGATCA